TATAATTGTAAGAACCTGAAGAGGAGAAATTATTGAAAAGAATATTCTTCGTTCAGATTAACTTTTGATACTTGAAACTGCCATAATTTTTGACTTTGTGTTGTGCCATTCGCCTGGATAACCACAACACTTAATACACACAACTAAGAGATTTTGATCAGCGCACTTGTCGTACTGAATGACTGCCTTGATTCCATTTCTGTCACCCGAAAATTTCGCAGCTGAATAAACTCATTTTTTTATTAGGTTAATGAATCTCACTTCTAAAATAAGAGTTATAATCGTTCGACGAAAACTGCTGTATTGCAGTTTTGGTTTGTGTAGTATATCCTTGGTCATACCCCTCTTGAAGACATCTGATGACTTATTAACTGCTTATAGACATACATGACAATTAATACATACCTTGATAATTCTTCTGAGGTTCTAGCTTCATTATCTATGCACACTTAGTAAGATTTTTAAATAATATGTGTAGTGATTGAACTCGAACTAATAGTCATAAAGTGTAACAATAATAATAATAATAATTTGCTTTATTCCAGAAACAATACTAGTGGTACAGTGTGGAATTTTCAGCACATATCCACAATATTTGCATCTCATTTTATCAGACATTAAAAAGGAGTATTTCAAAAAAATAAATATAAAGACAACAACAACAACGAAAAAACAGGAAAATCACAAAATAATTTTCAAAAAAATACTAAAAAATACCAAGAAGTAGAAAGGAAAATAAACATCATATAATAATAACTCAGTATTGGGTAGTGGAAGCTATGATATGATTATGCATGGTGACAGTAAAGCTATAGTAATACAAGAAGTTATGAAATGATATTTAAGAATGTTTATCGCCAAGATGATCAGTTAATTTGGTTGAAACAACTCTAAACAATCATAAAATAACATTTCAGGGTTGTTTTGTTTTTTATTATCAGGTCTAATGCAGTGTTTGTAGTAGTAGTGTGAGTAATCCTGCATAATACCAAATTTTAAGGTGGTGATATTGGCGTTCACAACCAAGATTGTCAGTGAATATTGCCGAACAAAAAAAACAAAACAAAAAAACAACAACCACAAAACTAATAATTACATGATGGTCAATGACAGGACAATTTTGTAATACTCATAGTGCTAATATAGTTGGAACCAGTAGATACACACAAGAAGGAATACAGTAAAGTACAAAAATGTAAGCCAGTGTTAACAATTTAGGTAGCTAAGTATGTTTAAGAAGGTGTTCACTATAGAATAAAAAATAAGAGTGAAATAAAAGAGCCTAAAATTATGTTATTGACAACAAAGCAAGTCATAGGTTTCGCGCTTAACATTGTCTCTGTCACTTAGAACACGGGCCAAGTATGGTATCGTTGAGTTCCTGTACTTGGTTATACGAGCGTAGATTATTTTATACTGATTTCTGGTTCTACTTGATGACATACAAGGAGATAGTTGGGAGTAGTGGAGGTGTTGGGGGTCGGATTGCACTTGTAACGGCAGGACATAAGAGACTGGACAACTGACTTATTTACTCAGGAAAACTGCATCATATTTATACATTTTCAACCGCATTAAAAGTCGGCTAGGTCAGCGTATAAAAAACTGTTCTCATAGGTTGTTGATTGCCCCCCCCCCATGGTTGAACAAAGGGATTAAATGTTGACCAATGATATTATTTCATGTCTACAACGTAAACTTGATCCAGACTTGAAGAATAAACACTTCTACTTCCTATGCCTGACTTCCGCAGTATTTATTTATATTCCGGGGGAAAATATGTAAACATACTGAGGGAGTTGCTATGGGGTCACTAATATCCCCGGTTTTGGTAGATATATTCATGGCTAGGTGGGAAGCATTAGTGACTGAAACGTTCATCCCCAACCCAACAGTATGGTGGAGGTATGTAGAACACAGGATATGGACAGATTTTTCGAACACGGTAACTCAGAAGTGGAGGTAATTTAATTCACTTGTGAATTGAAAAGTCGGAAAGGGGAACTTCCAGTTTTAGATTGTAGCGTAAAAACGAAAGATGATGAGAGGTTAAACACTAGTGTTCACAGGAACCCACACATTCAAACAGATATTCGGACTTCCGACCATCCCATCCTATGTCAGTAAAAATAGGTTTGTTGAAATGTTGAAGTAGTAGAGCACAAAACCTAAGTAGTACCAGGGAAAATCCAAGACAGGAAGTGAGGCATATAAGAGAAGCTTTGAAACTTGGTAATTACCCTGATAAATTAGTCAGAAAGTATGTGGGGAAATGTAAAAATAAAATAAATAGTGAAAGTAGTGATAATGATAATGCTAATGACGACATGCATGTCAAACATGCGCAGGATAATGACAACACTAACAATAAAGAATCCAAATCATTAGTAGTACTTCCATACAAAGAAGGAGCCTCGGAAGCCTTAGGCAGAATTCTTAACAAGGCAGGAATAAGGGTGGCTGGCATTCAAACGCACAAACTAAATTAGAAACAAGCTTTGTCGGTTAAAGGATCCTGTAGAGCCTTTAAAACAAAACAATTTAGTTTATCTAATACCCTGCTGGAATGATTGTCAGGTCAAATACATAGGTCAAAGTAGTAGAACAGGGGCAGCCAGACTAGCTGAACATAAAAACCTAGCAAAATCTAGATTGGTTGACCCGAATAAGATAAGAAATCTAGAGAAGAGTTCAGCTATAGCACTCACTACTTGCAATTACACACAACCATACAATAGGATGGAATAAGATGACGGTTGTGAAACCTAATTTCACAGGGTGCAGGGAGAGATTGATAGCAGAAGCTTTGTTTATCAAATCAACTGCCAAGGAATACATGTAAGAGGAATGATTCAACACTTGTCCACGGAGATATCTGGAAAATTTTTACTAGCCCATTGATGACAAATAAAGGAGAACAAAGAAAACTATAAAACTCAAGTTTCGTGTGATCATAAATGATATGATTATGAAGAATAAATTTCGTTCGAAACTGTGTCATCCAGTAAATAATACTATTACACTCACTGTGTGACACGTCTAATAAACAAACTAATATGAAACTACTTACTACCACAGTGCCCAAATTTGACACAGATATAAACACTTCTACACCTGACAAGGACGCTGACTCAAAGTGTTGATTTCAATTTCCTCTCGCTTCTTATTAATCTAAACCCTTATAGCACATATCACACACACATGCATATTATCGATTCAGACGGATGTTTGATAACCTTACCAACCACTGAAGTACGCTGGCATTCATCCTTAAGACTCAGAGTAAAGTATTCAAACTTATTCAAATGAACTGTCGTCAAGATTTGACAGAATAGTTCTAAAATATTTGGGCGCCGAGTGAGAAGTAGACATTTGTAAAAAATTATATTTGTAAAATCTCAGCGAGATTGAAATGAGTAATTCCAACGTTTCCTGTGTTCGGCAATCTGGTCCGAACTTCTTCCGGGAAATTAATCGAAATTAACATAACATAGGTTTATATATAAAAAGGAACATCACTTGTTTTTGAAAATTTGTCCAATTATGAGTCATTCAAAAAGTATCAACAAGTATAATAAACAAAATCTTATGAGCTGTGATCAAAATTTGACCCCGAACTTACAAATATTGGTCTACCTTTGTTAAACACTTTAAACAGAGTGGGAATGCGTGTGTGTGTAAACAGTTGTAAAACATTTCTTAACGTCTCCATAGGAAGATATAGACAGTCAGGAATTTGACCAAGTATTATTAATTAGTGATACATATCCATTTTTATTTATTAATCAGGATTTCCTATGCATCAGCTAACATCACGCCTTCACGTCTGTTCATACTGTTCGTATGTAGAATTTTATGATTAGACGTATTTTCAAAATTATGGTGTTTAGGATTAGAGTTTAGTAGAAGCACCCTGTCGAAACTTATTGCATTGTCTTCTTTCTGAAGATTGAGCTGCTTTGTTCGACCTACTGGAGTTGTCAGGTGACTCGACAGGGTGCTTCAACTAAACTCTAATCCTAAACACCATAATTTTGAAAATACGTCTAATCATAAAATTCTAAATACTAGCAGTTTGAACAGAAATGAAGGTTTGATGTTAGCTGATGCATAGGAAATCCTGATTAATAAATAAACAATGGATATGTATCACTAATTAATAATACTTGGTCAAATTCCTGACTGTCTATATCTTCCTATGGAGACGTTAAGAAATGTTTTACAACTGTTTACCCACACACACACATACACACTCTGTTCAAGGTGTTTAACCAAGGTAGACCAATATTTGTAAGTCCGGGGTCAAATTTTGATCAGAGCTCATACAATTTTGTTTATTATACTTGTTGAATGACTCATGATTGGACAAAGTTTTTAAAACAAAAGATGTGCCTTTTATATATAAACCTCTGTTATGTTAATTTTGATTAATTTCCCTGAAGAAGTTCGGACCAGATTGCCGAACGAAACGTTGGAATTACTCATTTCAATATCGCTGAGATTTTACAAATATAATTTTTTACAAATGTATTCAAACTTAGTTGATATTCGAAGTTAGGTGATAACTCCTATATTGAATTATGGACACCACTACTATTACTACCAAACTAAGAGTAGTAGAATTATTATTATCGTTTATCTTAGTTAGCTAAGAATGACCTTAAATCCGACTGATAGTTAACATTTTCACAGTGGGAATGCTCACCTACACACACGCACAAACACAAACACGAACATCAACCAACAAGCTATGTATGAACGTTAGCATCGCTAGATCAACTACCCATTCTTACCATTGTTGTGTATTACCCATATTTTATTTTTTATAAAGGTGCACAAACACATACGGTAATTCAATGAAACAAATTATTTTCTCAGGTCATTTAACATCAATTTTTTTTATTCTTCAATTATATGATACTCGTTGTCATGGTAACTTAATATTTTAGTTAGCGCGAAAATCAACGCATCTAAAACAAATAGTCTGTCTCTTAGTGTGTCATTCTGATAGTTTAATTGTGAATTAAATTGTTTGTAGACGGCTGGAAATATGTGAGTTTCAATTTTATTTTTGTATTTTCCTTAATGTTCTTACTGATAGCTTTAAGGTTCATAAAATACTTTTGTTATATAATGAATTAGACGATGTATATATAGTCCGTGGATATATTAAATTTAGCATTGGAATTATTGACGTCTATCACCAAGAGGTTTCATTTGATGACAAATGTGCTGTGATAATTGAGACTGACTGGGGTCATACACTTGAATCAGTCAGTTTCAAAATTAGAAAAGTCTTTATAAGGTCGATTCATATATATATACTTACTTTACTTTACTTCGGCTATCTCCTACGGGAGGATGAGCCGGCTTCATGAACATCTCGAATCGTTTGTAAGAGAGTTCATGAAGTTTCATGGGAATTTGGTACGAGTGATGTCCCCAGAATCGTTCGGCCTTTTCTTTGAGAGTGCAGCTCTAGCCTTCACACAACCAAGTGTGACCTACAGGGCAGTAGGAGTGGAATAGGGAGTCCACTATCCATTGGCAGCCGGTGACCGGAGTTCGGTTCATACGCCTTTTTGAATGGGGCCAGACATCCAGGACATCCAACAAGCCCTTTGTCCATACGTCTCCCGGTGAGCTCCAGTGAGCTTCATACGCCAGTCGTTGGAGGTTTGGAATCAGGGTTTAGCCATCTCCCCTAGACTGTCATCCAATGGACAGTCAACCCAGTGAAGAGCGCCGGGCATCCGCTTTCGCCGTCTCACTTTGATGAAAAGCACCTCCACCACGTGAAGGCAGTGAGTACGACTTCCTCAGGAGAGGCTATGTAAGACGCCCGGTCATATGGGAGCATTTCAAGAGGTGTGTGGAGGGGAGGGCAACCCGCAGCGCAAGGCACCCACCCCCGACCATCCTGAGGCTTTGGAGGTATATAGATATATTCTTGCCGTTCATGTTATATACGGCACACGATTAGACAGGTTCGTCTACGGGTTCGAGAACATTTGCCATTTTGATTCAGCAGGGGGAAGTTGAGTGCATAAAATGCTGTATCCTGTCATACTTGGTCAATTCGGGACATAACATCGACGTCACCACAGTTTTCAGGGTTACTCAAAGCGAATTCTGAAGTCATTTTCGCGTACAGTTCGCTTACGTCTGCTACACACAACTGAAGCTTTTGCGATAAGATTGACTAAACCGAAACTTTGTACCCAAAAGGAACACGTCCAGACGCTGTTCCTACCGTGGCCAAATATGGATTGATAATTCTTTTTCTCACCAAGAATGCTTCTTCCCCATTAACCCACTTGGATTTTTCTTTCTTTGCTTATTATTAATATTTTTATTCGTCATAATTTATGCCCTTCATGCAAACATTATCTCAAAACTATCGAATTTTTCGTTTATACTATCCGGACTTATTATTATTAGTGATATTATCTCTTTTCTCAATATATGCCTCCACCTGTTTCATTTCATACATTCGTTATTTCATTATGAACCTCTCCCATTGCAGTCTTACTATCTCCTGTTTAACACATACCACTTTGTACTAACCACTCACCTGACACCTTTTATAACCTTGAACTGACCTACTTGTCAATTTTCCTACCCCACACTCTACAAATCCATTATGAATAATCATCACCCTTGTCTCCCATTTTGCAATATTTTCTAATCGTGGAATATACACATTGGGTCATAGGAGTTAATAAAAAGACAATTGTAGCGAAGGAAATTTTCTTTTCGACGAAGTCATCATCTAGGCTGTACATTCGTGTATTTATATAAGATGGATGGAAAAGTTCCAGAATAATTTTCGGTTAAGGGTCAAATTAATAAAAATTACAATTAGGAATTAGAATGCCATAATAAACAGGGGGACGGATAAAACTCAAACATAGTAGCATAATAATAATTAAGATGATTGACATTGTGCAATTGGGGGTTAGAAATGTAGAAATAACAAAATATACAGGATGTTTGGATAAAAAAACTAATATGATGAATAATTGTTTATGCAATCAGGGATTAAATATGTAGAAATAGTAAAATGACAAAATAAACAGGAAGAGTGGATATGAAAATATGGTAGTGTAGACAGGGACTAAGAAAAACTTAAAATAACATGAATAAACAGGAAGTTTAGATAAGAAAGGCGATGAGATTGTCATTACTAAAAAAAATTTTACGTGTTTATGATGGCCGTGGCAGGGAGAGGGGTTGGACGTAATTCTTTTGGATACAAAGCGTGGGTTTGAGCTTTTGGATAGCTAGCGCCTCAGCTATGCCCAGATGTCTTGATTTGACTCCCTTTGATAGGTTTGATTGAATTTTGTATATTACTTTGAAGGATTTTTCGAAAGGCTCTGAACGTCCTAGGTTGACCAGATGTTCTGTCACTGAACTGAATACACGTTTTCGGTCTCCTTTTACTAGCCAGGCTGGGTTGTGTTCATGAGCGCGTACGTCGGCTGTACCATGCGCCGACTTGGAAAACGCGCTCGTGAACACTACCCAGCCTGGCTAGTAAAAGGGGACCGAAAACGTGTATTCAGTTCAGTGACAGAACATCTGGTCAACCTAGGACATTCAGAGCCTTTCGAAAAATCCTTCAAAGTAATATACAAAATTCAATCAAACCTATCAAAGGGAGTCAAATCAAGACATCTGGGCATAGCCGCAGCACTGGCTACCCAAAAGCTCACACCCACGCTATATATCCAAAAGAAATAATACGTCCAACCCTTGTCCCTGCCAAGGCCATCATAAGCAGGAAATTATTCTGGAACTTTCTCACCCATTTATTATACGTACACGAATGTATGGCCTAGTTGATGACTTCGTCGAAAAAAAATTTTTTTTCTTCACCGCAACCGTCTTTTTATGATTATTCCCTTGGATTCTAAGTGGAACATAAGGTTTCAACAGCTCATCTCCACTTAGTTTTGTCTTGTCCTCTTCAACTGACTCCACAATCTACTTCATGTCACCCTCGAACCCATTTAGGTGCACAATGTCACTCGACAGTCTCCTCAACGCGCATTCAATCCATCTTCATTATCTTACGCAGAGTTTTTCAGCTCATTCCACATTTTTCACATCACGTCTTGATTCATTCAATCATACGACTTCTAATCACTCACTATATTTCATGATATCTGATTACGCCGACGAGAACCCAAAAAGATAAAACGGATCCATATAGTTCTGTACCAGTTTTTTTCAAATATTATAAAGGTGATTCATCTATTGAGTCATACATGTAGTGAAAATTTAAGAGTTTGCTAGTTACTCGGGTACATCATATTCACTAACGAATCCAGATAGTCAGTATTCAAAACAGCATATACTATGTGAAAGCGCATGTGCATACCTTACAGCAGGTTGTCATAACTTTAGGTTCCGACTGGAACATAGAGCTTCAAGCTAGAGGCTTGAAGTTTCGGTAGCAGTGATGTTTATTACTTTTAAGGGATTGAGTTGCTAGCCTCATGCAAAGTCTTCCCTCTTTACTAGTCTTTTGCTGGCTTGGCGAGGTAAAGTAGTGCGTCAGCCGGGGGGAAGAACCCCGGACCACATGCGTGCACACCTTCAACCCACTTAAAATTAAATGTCACTAATCCGCCTTTCTCATAGCTAGGAGATTTTATAAGCTCACCGAGGTGTAACTTCAAAAGTATATATTTATTCCCTTCAGACGGAGGTTGAAAATGAGGCAGAGGTTGACGTCGAGTATTAAACCGACTCAATCTTAATTTCAGAGGTCAGCACATCTATTGAAATAGGACCTGATAGTTTAGTGAATAGACTATCTTCAGGAGACTAATTCTTTCAGCTTTATAATAGAATATATATCCACTTGAAATCCCGCTCTAGACTCCTGTAAAAAAGACAGACGGGAGCGGCAGAGTTCGGTGGGGTTGCGACAATTACAAGGAGAACATCGTGTAGGGCGTATGCGCAAACGGATAAAGAGAATTTCAGAAGAAGAAAATGGCAAAATAAAGATGCGCTTTTGAAGCCCTGGAAACTCAAGGGAATTAATTATAATAATGGTATTTGAGTATGTGTGGATAAATCCTGTCTATCAAACACAGGAAAACATTAATGGTAAAACAGTTTCAAATGCTGTTCATATCATCAAGGTATTTGAAAACAATAAAGATTTATAGGATTAGACCAAAGGTTGTGTAATATGAAAAAAACCTTCAGGAATATTGGGTGTTGTTGATAAAGAATAGAGACAAGTGCTGACATACATTATATAACAGCTGTATAGAGCGAACAAAATGTCAGCTAAGAAAAATGACGTTAAAACACGTGAGACGAAAAATAAGGAATAAGTATTATTGATAAGATATTGATCAAACAGTCAAGTTTTGAAATATACTCAGTCTAGGTTGATTGTGGATGCAGAAACGTCTTTCTTCTTTGCATAAATCATAGGTTTCCTGTCTAATTGGCTAAGTTGTCAGTAATGCAAAGTATACGGCTCATTTTCATAAGCGTTACAGTCGTAAGCATATTTAATATAGAATTCATAAGACCGATCAGATACTAGTGAAATTTGTTCTCAAAAACGTATTATCTAATGTCGGATGTATTCTAGAAGCGGTGACAATTTGAAAATGAGAAAAGGGGTAGAAGAAGACATTTCAAGCAGCTGCATAACGTTCTCCAGCGGACAATTTATCCCGTCTCACGTCAAGGATAAGATGGTGCTATTGGTCACCTCGATGTGTATTTATCAGTTTATTTATTCGTGCGTGGGCCGAAGTATATCGGTTGTAGACAAATGTATTCTGGAAAACTGTTCAGCTTGGTAATCAGAGGAGAAAAGAAGAATAGTAGCATCTGCATTCTTGAACACCTTGTCAACTCTGGACATCGAGCACTCCTGCATGAATGCTACACAGTGCTGCACAGAATCCCTCAATGTTATAAAAAGGGACTTCGTATGCGCCATCTGTACATAGATGAATCACTACCTATTCGGGATCTGAAACTAGACCTCTGTTTATTAATAAAATTGCATTTTCATACAAATTTTATAATAACACTTTGGCGTCTTTCCCTGGGTTCCTGTCCACTCTACATAACTATACTATTCAGAAACTATGCAGGGTGTTAGTTGTTGTTTCCAACTCCATTCCCTGTACTGCTTACTTCTCTTGTCCTGCTAACCATTGTTATTTTCCTTCATAGATTTCTTTTCAATATATATATATAAACAGAGGAGGACAACAACTCAGTAATGGCGGCTTGCGGTTGCATTTTAATTATAATTAACAGCATCTTCCTGGTGAGTGTTCAACATTTAAATTAACCATTTTTAAAATATTTAATATTCTGTTTTATTAAATCCGTGATTCGCGAATTAATTAACTGGATGGATGGAGGAGTTCATCATGAGGTGATATCAGTTAGAGAACCATTGGATAACCAGACGGGAGTACTCGACAGCTGTTTCGTCAGATAAGTTTGAGACTCTTCTGCAGTACACACCCACCGGCAGGGTTCGAATCCAGGACCTTCTAGTTACAAGGCTAATGAGCTCGTAGACCATTGAGTCACTGGGACAGGATCTAATGGCTAGTCCATGAATTCTACCTCCTACCGATTTGCGGCATAGCGCGACCATTTCTCAATGTCTTCTTTCACGAGTTACTGCCTTATCTTCAACCTGACGTACCCTACTAGTCATGGGCGATTGAATCGGGTCCCAGTGGCTCAATGGTCTACGACGTTGCCTTGTTACCAGAAAATCCTGGGTTTTAACCCTGGTAGTGAGTGTGTACTGCTGAAGATTCGCAAACAGCTGTCCAGTACTCCACGCAGGTTTTCCAGTGGTTCTTTAACTGATGTCAGCTCCTGAACTGAACTCCTCCATCCAATCAAACAAAATCGCTACAGAACCAATACTTGATTATTAATTAATCTACAGCATGCAATTTAGGCACGTTTCGGGGGGATATTTCATTTTGGAATACCGACATTATTCAGATCACCACAATGTATGTGATATACAAGGCAGGAAGCATAAATGCGTGATGATATATGCTACTAAGTGAATTATACGGGCAGTTGGATACCAGTCACATCAAGCAAATACTACTGATTGGTGTGGGTTGCTTCCAACTACTCATATCAGTCAATCAGTAGTATATAGAGTCAAATATTTTGTTGTACCAGATAAAAACATACTGACTAACAAATACTGGAATATGTATGTTAATACTTTATTCTGTTATGTTTTAATTACTGACTGAGAATAGATTCTAACGGAAAGATTTTCAATAAGTAATAAGCCAGTCGCTTATCTGTAATGTGCTAGCGACTAGATGGCTCCCCTAGGGTTTCAATAGAAGTATTTCTCGCTAAAATGTTTCCTTTGACAGCATATTAATAAAGTAAGATTGGTCACGAACTAACAACACTTGGATAACTATTGGCAAATCACCAGGGAGTACTTGATCGGTGTTTCTTCCTAGTTCGGCACTCCTCATCAGTGTGGACACCCCCCCCCTCGAGTTCGAGCCCAGGACCTCCAGGTTATACGGTGACTGCAAAGACCGTTCAGCCACTGGGACTTGTTCTAATGACAGATGAATCTCAGCTTCCGTGTACTGGTGAAGAATCCCATACTAGAACGAAGCAGCTGTCCAGTACTCTCGGGATTACCGACAGTTCTCTAGCTGATTTCAGCTTGTAATCAACCCTATAATCAATTAAATCCCTGAAAATCAATACCTGATTATAAATAATGCGCCAGTGGATCACTGGCAGAATCCAGGGAGCATTGGATAGCTTCTTTGTTCTGATTCAAAATTCTCCAACAGTGCATTCAAATGACTTCGCCAGCTTCAGGTTGCGAGATGAAGCTCACCGGATTTTCGTCTCTAGTAGAGTAGTGGGTTCACGCTGATTAAAAGAATTCCAAACTAGAATGAAACAGATGTCCAGTGTACCTTAGGCTTAATGATCTCCAGCTGATACTTTCGGTACGTTACGAAACCATAATCTAATTATTTTTATCATAGTCATCACTAACTGGGGAAACAAAATACACTATATACCAAGTATTGTATATAAATAGTCACGAAAAATACTCATTTATTCATAAGTAAAAACAAAGTATTTGTTCAGCGAAGAAATTTCTTTTCAACGACTTCATTTTCAAGCTGTACAGTCGTATTTATATTACAGAAAGAAGGTTATTAAGTGGCACTAAATAATTGCTCAGTCAATATACATATATGTGATAAGAGTGACGATAGTTAAAATGTTATAAGGGGTATCGGAGATTACGCTTACAACGTCCAATGTAAACAGCTCCACAAGAGCAGGTAAAAGAGTGAATACACATGGATGTGGACAAAAGCGGTAATCTCCGAAAACGTGTAGCTGAACACTATTCAGTCTGGTTAATGAAAGGAGAACGTAGAACTGCGAAGTCGTCTATCTGTGATCACCTGTTAGAGTCAGGTCATTTAGCCCCACGTGATTCATCTTTCAAAGTTATCTACATGGCAAAATCGAATCGATCCCAAAGTTTACGTTTTCTTCACTTATGCATAGCCGAAGCTTTAGCTATACATGAACAGAAACCTAAATTATGTGTTCAAAAACGTTTTGTCAAACCCCTTTCTTTACCTTGGTCATAGTAATGTTCTTTCTAGTTTTTACTTTATTTTATTTTACCATTTGAATTCTTTCCACTTCACTTCGCATCTTCACTCTTATCGTAATCCTTATTTTTTAGTGAATCGATTTTATTTCATTCCTAAGCATTCTGACTGGAGCACAGAACGTGAAGCTTGAACTTTGAAGTATCGGTATTATCGTTGTTCCTTTTTCCGGTTTAAGGTCGCTAGCCTCACACCCTCTCTTTCTTCTTCACACGCTTCACTGTCAGCTAAATGAGACTGAGGAGTAGGTCAGTTGGAAATCGAACCCCAGACTGCATACAAGGTGAGCATTCATCGATTCAACGAATTGCGTACAAAGCCAGCTCCTAGACCGGTAATCGAAAGTATACCTTCCATGCAACAGAAGGAAAAACTCATCACTATACAATACTATCAGTAGTCCTCATTAAGTCATGAAAAAACAAGTAGTGTCCTGCGAAGAGTTACTCGTTTCATTGATAATAATAATGATAATATAATAGCTTCATTCACAGCGTAATATTCACTCCTCGTATACAATCTGCAATCAACAGCATATTGTCTAAGGCAACGTCATTCTATCTAAGAAAGACTCAGTCCTCTACGACACTTTTCCATCAGTTGCTTCTTGAAGTTCAGATGAAGGTTGGTTGGCAGCTAATTACAAAAATTATTGTGAGTTCATGTTACTAGCTGAAGACAGTATTGGAAGATTAAAACGCTAAGAAACTCAAGAAATTGTTTTTTCATTCTGCCAGATAGAAATTCAGGTAGCACAGTGATTTAAGCAGGCCACCTGATGTCATTCTCAAGCTGTACAATCACATGTATATATAAATATACAAATATCGTCATAACAACGAAAGGAATGTTTTCAGAGATGTCGTTAACATTTTAAGTATTGGTTTCTGTAGGGATTTAATTTGATTGGTTGGAGGATTTCATGGGTTTGAACCCCGAGAGAAGCGTACTACTGAAGAGTCCCAAACTGGGACGAAACAGCTGTCTAGTACTTCCAGGTTTTCCAATGATTCTCTAACTGATGTCAGCCCATGATGAAATTCTGTAACCAATGCTAACTTCTGTCGGTTGGCGGTTTCTAGTGCTGCTAATTTCCCTGGAGAGTATTTATCCTCTCACCAGATCTCATAAATCCCACTGGTCACTATTACTCACCAGAACTCAAAGTAAGTTCTTCCTGTAGTCTGTCACTAGTGAGCATCATATTGATCCTCAAGTGTCAGCTTGTAAGTATTTGGTTTCTTTCAAGGTTGATTACAAAGTGATATCAGTCGGATAACCAACTGAAAAAACCAAGAATCATTGTAAACCTGTTTCTTTCCAGTTTTCAGAACTCTCCAGCAGTGCGCACCCACGATGCATCCATCAAGGTAGACTGGATGCTTATCGAAGGCATTAGTGAGGGTAGCTCAGTATCATGAGTTGACAAATTAAGAATTCACGGTTTACTAAATTCCCGCCTAAATGGCTAAGTTACTGGCCAGATTGGTCTCATAACCTGAAGTTCCTTGGTTCGATCCCCTAATGGAATCGTGGGTAGACATCGATGAAGAGTCCCAAAACAGGACGATATAGCGACCTCATACTGCTCACTGATTTTCAGTGATCCCTCTGTGACTGATGTTGGTTCATGTCGACATCTATCAACTGAAAACGATAAATAAAAATCGATAAATGTATTATTTTCTTCCAGTGTATATCGGTGGCTATTGCTATTATTGGTGGAATACTTGCTTGGAATTCAGATGTCGTGACGAGTGTTTTGAATAGTACACTGGTGTCTTATATTACAACAACATTTTCTAGCAAATTGTCTGTCAGTACAACTACACTTGTGACTAATATTATTGCAATTGTTCGTAAGTTCAAATATTTTTATGATATTACATGATCATTTGTTTGGATTTCGGTTTCACCCTATAGTCATACTCTAGCTAAGCGATTGGTTATTATTATTATTATTAGTGTTTCCTTTAGTTACTAGAGGAACAGAGGTCTTCAGCCGCACGTCTCCACTGCATACGGCTCTCTGCCAGTGTTTTTACCTGGCTCCACGTCTTCCCACATCTCATTTCATCTCCTCTACACATGACCTCCTCCAAGTCATCCTTGGACGACCAGCTTGCTACTTTCCTTTCGAGTTCCACTCAAGGGCCTGTCTAATGATGTCACTGGATGGTTTGTTTTCTCAGAGTATGGCCACCAATCAACCTCTATTTCTTCCTGCATATTTGTTGCACAATCGGTTCCTGCTGGGTTGGTTCGCTCATTGCCAGAGATCCCTGTTGCTGATCTTTTCTGGCTGGCCATCTGATCTTGAGTGGTATTGAGCAAAGACAGCTGTTGATAAAGGTCTGTAGTTTGTTTGGGGTGCTCTTCATGACGCGCCAAGTCTCTGATCCAAAAAGGAGCACTGGTTTCACACTGGAGTTGAAAATCCGGATCTTGTTTTTCATGCTGAGTGCTAAGCGATTGATAGATCCTCCTAAACCTTTACATAAACATATAGTGAGATATATCATGAAAGATTCGCACATCAGCTATTTACTGGTGGAATACTCGCCAATCACGTCTACGGTTAGGATTCGACTGCTGTCCGAAGCACTCTTAAACCACGCCTAGTTTACTAACTGACAGTGAGTTCAGTGAAATGGGGAAGTTGAAGATGAAGCTAGTAGCCCTAACGCCACTTAAACTTCAAGGCTTGATAGTCCTATACTCCAACAGGAATGTGAGGTCGTAGCGTCACTATTTGCGAATGTACTGCTGATCGGAAACCGTTATCTAGCTGTGTGGAAAAAACTGAACGATTTGTCGATAAATACTGGGATCCCAATAGAAGTCCTTTGAGAAAAAACCTGCTACTAAAATCTGTCATGAATACAAATTGTAAATTTCATGACGGGATCTATATTAAAGGGTGAGGAGTGACAGTGGGCCCCACGATCAGGATCCATATAGGCGAATGGTTACCTTATTAGATGCTTTTCTCAAAAGAAAATCAGATGGTAATATAAATAGGAATCTGCTTGAGAAAAGTACATGGGAAAGGCAATATATATTCACATTTTCACAGCTTTGTACCGGCCCTCCTGTATATATTTGGCAGCGATTAAGGGGTGAATTACCAAACGAAACTGTAAGCAGTAAGTTGAGAAAATCACTTCAGAGAACTTTAAATGCTAGCAAAATGTATCTCATATTTTTAATACGTCCAGTTGTGATACCGAATCCGGAAGATTGAGCACCTAGGCTATCTATCGGTTTCTGTAGCTACTACTAATTTAACTGCTCTTATAGAACCAATTACATAGTCCGTAGCTTGGGGAAATGGATTTCTCATGCTTGATGTTCTAAAAAGCATTAACAGTTCTTTGTCAACACATCTACTCAAAAAAAAACCCATAAAGTTACCATTGATAAATCGCTTTCTATTGTCTGTCACATACCCAATAAATTTCTGAGGAACACTACCCACAGTGTTATGAAACATGTAGTATACATCATGGGATTCGAAAATCTGCTCTATCCAGCACGAGGAACACAATTTGTACCTTCAACATTAATGTTGAGTCAGCTCTTCTACCTACGTAGGTCATAAACTTGGCGTACACGTCACGAAGAATATGTTCAACGGACTAATTCAAACCTTTATCAGCAGCTGTCTTCACTCCATACTGAAGATCAGGTGACCAAAAACAAATTAGCACCTGGGAATTAACCCCTTCAAGAACCTAGTGTTCAAGAAATTCACAAAAGAAAATGGAGGTGTAATTTACATACACTGAAGATTTGATATTGTGGAAAATTCCCATATTATGAAATAAAAGTCAATCTGAACGAAGAATATTCTTTTCAATAATTTCTCCTCTTCAGGTTCTTACAATTATAAAATATAATATTTGTTGTCGTTACAATAAAGGCCAGTTATGTGGTGGATACATTTTGTTTTACGTAGAATAACAGATTAGTTACGGCGTGTCAAAATAAACAGTCGTATTTGTGTGACAAACGTGCTCTCGGCTGAATTCGATTAGAAAATATTGTAAAACGGGAGACAACGTTGGTGATTAATCATAATAGATTTGTAGAGTTTAGGGTAGGAAAATTGACAAGTAGGTCAGTTCAAGGTAATAAAAGGTGTCAGGTGAGTGGCTAGTACAAAGAAAGAACTCCAGGTCATCCGAGACATTCTAAACGAGAACGGATATCCAGAGAAGTTCACTAAAGCCAACGTAGGTTACAATAGTCGTAAAAATGAAGTGGCAACGGTGGAGAAAAAGCCTCTGTGTTTATGTCTCCAATTCAAGAGAGATACTCCTGCGGAGATTCTATCACAACGTGTAACCAGGGCGATCAAGAAAACTTTCTACACTGCACGTCTGTGTCTATCCTTCAGTAGCCGTCCAATGTTCACCCAGCAACTCAAAGATGTCTTACCTAAACTTAGCTCTTCTTCATGCATATACCATTTCAACTGTTCCTGTGGTTCAAGTTATATAGGGCGCACGATTAGGCAGGTTCGAGAACATTTACCAGCTTGGTTTAGCAGGGGGAAATTAAGTGCATGAAAAGCTCGATCTTCTCACACTTGGTCGATACTGGACATCATATCGATGTCAACACAGCTTTCAGGGTTATATACCGAATTCCGAAGTCGTTATCACGTACAGTTCGCTTACGTCTTCTACACATAACTGAAGCTGTTGCGATAAGATTGACTAAATCGGAACTTTGTATCCAAAAAGAACATGTCCAGACGCTGTTCCTACCGTGGCCAAACTTGGATTGACGATCCTTCTTCTCACCAAGAGTGCTCCTTCCCCTTAACCCTCTTGGTTTTTTTCATTTGCTTATTATTACAAATATTATTATCACAATTATTATTATTATTCGTCATAATTTATGCCCTTCATGCAAACATTTTCTCAATACTATCAAATTTTCCGTTTATACTATCCGAACTTATTATTATTAGTGATATTATCTCTTTTCTCAATATATGCCTCCACCTGTTTCATTTCACACATTCGTTATTTCATTATGAACCTCTCTCATTGCAGTCTTACTATCTCCTGTTTAACACAGAACACTTTGTACTAGCCACTGACTCACCTGACACCTTTTATTACCTTGAACTGACCTACTTGTCAATTTTCCTACCCTAAACTCTACAAATCTATTATGATTAATCACCAACGTTGTCTCCCGTTTTACAATATTTTCTAATCGAATTCAGCCGAGAGCACGTTTGTCACACAAATACGACTGTTTATTTTGACACGCCGTAACTAATCTGTTATTCTACGTAAAACAAAATGTATCCGCCACATAACTGGCCTTTATTGTAATGACAACAAATATTATATTTTATAATTGTAAGAAACTGAAGAGGAGAAATTATTGAAAAGAATATTCTTCGTCCAGATTGACTTTTAATACACTGAAGAGATTATCAGGCATATCTCCAAATGGAACCTGAATGGCTACGTTGAGTTGCACGTGGATTTGAGGGAGATTGTAGTGTGAGGTGGGAGCCAGGTAAAGTAGACTTCAGAAAACAAGGTGGAATGAAGAGATCCTCTATTGAAGTCGTATATATTTCGCTCGTTACCCAAGGGAATGATAATTAATCTTTAGACAGTTTATTTTCTGATTTTTCAATAACAAACTGACTTAAGTGAAAGAGCCATTGAAAACGAAGAGGTACTGAATAGCTATTTCGTATTTAAAAACATTTTACACGTCAATCTACAAGGTTTAACACTTTATTCAGAGGTGTACAACTCCTAATAATCATCTATTATTACAAATATCTGCAATAAATTTATGAACATTTCTAAGTTACCTGTGTGGATATCTGAATAGAAGTATACTAGCGAGATTGTTGACTTTCTGGCCTTCAGTGAAAAAAACATGCATCGTTGGGGAGGGTGTCCAATAGGGAATGGTCAACTGGTGCAGTGAGAATCTGAGCACGTAACAGGGACTGAACCTAAGTAGTCTCAGGACTAGTTAACAATCTGTTTGTCTGCTTTCAATTCACTATGATTTAGACTGACAAGGGAACAGAAATGAAGTGAATAGTGAAGCATGAAGACAAAGGAATATTTGCTAATTTTAGGTCTACATAACAGCTGGGCATTACTCGTGATGACTGCAGTGAAAGGATGGTTCAGTTAGTTAGTTAGTGATTAGGATCTCACAGTTCAGATGTCAAAGTTTCAGACTGTCGATTGTTTTAACCGTGATACGGCCTAGATTTTTATTCAGTTTGTGATTTTTCGCATCCTTTGGGTGCTGAGTGAAGCATAGGGCCTCAAAATGTTGAAGTGTTAGTGTCGGCGGTTTTGCTTTTGTTCACAATCAAATCTGCCGCTTTTTTCGAGGTTGCTACCAGCTAATAAACAAAGTGAGCATTAGGAGAGTATCAATGAGAATCAAATCGGTACCTTATGCCTGGCTGGCAGGCATTCTAGCATTAGACCACTGACACACCAAAACTGTGACTACCATTCATCGAATACTTGGATATAAATTAATAATTCGACTCAGTACGCAGTACACATGTTCATAGACGACACTCTTGGTGTTTGCTCATGTAAATAGTGTGAAAGCTAGGAATTCGACCGCTAGTTTTCTCCTTGCGTTTCAGCAATGTATTTATTGATGGTGATAGGCGTTAAATCCGTCTGAAAATTGTGTGTTTTATCATAACACTCTCAGCTAAATATTTACCTTGCTGAAATTAACCAGTTGGTTAGTCTATCAGGATATCTGAAGCCTCGGATTTCCAAATAGATCGCCGTAGACAGTACTACCTAATAATACAATGGTGTGTTGACATTGCTAAGCTTTCAATATACCAGAGATTCGTATTTTTTTTCAAAAGAATGGTCCTCTTCAAACGGTCTTAAGCTGAATCCGTCTAAATATCAGGTAGTAAATTTCACTTTCAGACGAAAACGTGACCTACAACAACTAGCTAGCTCACATGGTCCCACTATCATTGACGGCACAGAGGTTGAAACTACATCTGATGTCAAGTACCTTGGACTGAGCATTTCCTACGATCTTTCCTGGTCCTCTCACATCCTGCTAGTCACTAGAAAGATGTTTCGCTTAACGTCCTACGTTAGGAAGTTAAGGCAGTCTGGTATAAAGCAGTCTTTGCTTTCTCGGTTTGTCAACTCTTGTATTCTAACCATCCCTCTTTACTGCTCCCCATTAATCTTTCCTGGACTACTTAAGAAAGACTTTGCTTCGCTGCGTAGGACACTAAAAGCTGTTAGTAGAGGAAGTTGGATTTCGTTAAACCAACTGGTTAACACTATTGTGGATAGACATATAATGTCATGTAAGAAACTAGCGAATACTATATTGTCAGACCCCGAACACCCTCTCTATACGCACCTCTCTCCTTGCATTTTATCTGGTAGAACTAGAAGCAACTATAGGAGGCTATATGCCAGGACTACCACAATACCTTATCTGGCACAGCTGTTATATGATGAGAAAACTGTTAGGCATGACACGATCACCTTACTGCGGCACTAACAAATAGTTCCCATTAGCTTATGTTCTCCTTTCTTTATTACTATTATATTGTTGCTCACATATTCTATTACACACTAATTTTATACTTCATATCCTGTGGTGCATTAATTATATATGTGAATGTAATACTGTTCTTTTTTATTTCTTTTATTTCTCTTTTTTTCTTTTTGTTGTTGTTGCTTTTTATTTTTAAAATCTTGTAAAATTTATGAGGTAATTAGATGCAATATTGTAATGAACGCTGAAAATTCCATACCTGTACCACAAATACTGTTTGGAATAGAGCTCTTATTATTATTAATATTCTCTTCGATAACTTCATCATCAGGTCCTACAGCTTTATATATACATAATAGTGAATGAATTATTCTTAATAATAACATGAATGTTGTTTAAATAACACCGAATCAATAATAATATCAGCGGATTACAGTTCAATAGCATTAACATAACAACACAATAAATATCAGAGAAATTAGGAAAGATACTAATGCAAATTCATAAATTTATCGTCTCCACTGACAGCCGATCAGAGCAGTTGTAGCGGCTCGCTGGAGCTATTTCTTCTACACACACAGAGCACTGGTTGTTTCACGCGAATCGCGATAGCCTCTGCTGTGTTTTTGCAAATTATTTGGTACTCGGTAGATGATAGAGAAGGATTCTTCAATGTTTGTCTTTTGGCAGGTTTGCGTTGGGTGGTCTAACATCGAACTGTTGATGGTTTTTTTTACTACACTTTTACTTAGCCACACTGTTAGGTGTTCTCGAGAGAGCACGAAAAATCAAGCTGCTAGAGCGACGGCTTATATAACTCGCTCTATAAGCGTAGTTGAATTGGCAGATACAAATTGAAGTGGCTAGTCTAGGTACTTTATCTTTCAATCAAGTAATCACCATCGGTAGTGTAGAAAACATGACTTGCAGTTTACTAGCAATAAAAGACCTTTGAATAGACTTTCTTAACTTGTTCGTAGTTATTTCACTGGGTGTGTCACCCTTGATTTGCAGTCGTTTGTATAAATGCTTTTCTGCTTCCTTGGTCATGTGTTTCTTGATGAACAGAGCATGGAATGGCAATCAAACCTCCATCTCAACCTTATAGACTTTGAGAAGGCCTTCGACAGCGTTGACCGCGAAGTAATTTGGAAACTACTCGAGTACTACGGCGTACCCCAAATATTCATCAAACTTATTCAACAGCTGTACGACAACGGCACATGTCAAGTGATCCACAACGGAAAACTCAGCGAGGCTTTTGGAGTAAACACAGGAGTCAGACAAGGGTGCTTGTTATCACCAGTGGTATTCCTAATTGTGGTGGACTGGATTATGCGTCAGACAGTGGGAAACGAGAAGACAGGGATATCCTGGCCCTACATGAATAACCTAGAAGACCTGGATTTCGCGCGTGGATGATTTATGTTTGATGTCACACGAGATCGAAGACTTACAAGCGAAAACCGACAAATTGGTCGAAGAAGCAGCCAGAGAAAACAGGACTCCAGGTGAACATAGACAAGACGGAGGTTATGAAAATAACCAACCAACCAACAACAACAGCAGTAACATCCAGCGCCAATCACCGTCAACGGGAGGGGTTTGGAAGAGGTTACTTCATTCACTTATCTAGCGAGCATTGTCTCAACTACATGAGGAACGGAGGGACGAGGATGCCAAATCGAGAATCGGGAAGGCGAGAAACACATTCATCAACCTGAAACCAATCTGCAAATCTTCGTCACTCAGCCTGCATCAACAACAAAATTCGGATTTTCAATACAAACGTCAATTCAGTCAGTTCTTCTATACGGATCAGAAACTTGGCCAGTGTGTCACAAAGAATATATCCAACAGCCTGTTGCAGACCTTTATCAACAACTATCTCCACTCTATACTGAAGATCAGATGGCAAGAAAGAATCACCAACAAGAAACTATGGGAACAAACAAAACAAGAACCAATCGTCCAACAAATATGCAGGAGAAAGTGGAGTTGGATTGGACACTCACTGAGGAGGCCGCTGGGTGACATCGCGCGTCAGGCCATTGCTCGAGTGGAACCCGAAAGGGAAGCGGCGAGTGGAACGTCCAAGTGTGACATGGAGGAGATCGTGTGAACAGGAACTGAAACAGTATGGATTAACATTGATGCAAGTGAAAAGTACAGCAGAAGATAGAAGCAAGTGGAGGCGTGCAGTTGAAGCTCTTTGTTCCACTAGGAACCCAAGGGAACAATAATGATAATAATATCATAAACAATCTTCAGTTCATCTTCAGTTACGTCTTCTGAGCATATAGCTCTAACCCTGTGGCTGAGGATCGTCACCAAAATTTCTTTCGTACTCCAAACAGCAAAGGCTATCGCGATTTGTGTGGAACAACCAGTGAGTGATCAGTGTGTGTAGAAGAAACACCTGCAACTAGCCACCACTATTGCCCTGGCCAGCTTTCAGTGGAGACTATAAATTCATGCATGAATTTGTATTAATATCTTTCCTAATTTCTCTGATATTTAGTGTGTTGTTATGTGAATGCTATTGAACTGTAATCCACTGGTATTATTATTGATTCGGTGTTATTTAAACAACATTAATGTTTAAGTCGCTTTAAGAGTTCGACTTCTAAATATTGTTGAGGCTGTGGGGATTCATATTAATAAGCCTAATTTATGCGCCCAAAAGAAGTTAGTTCAGACATTATCATTACCTTGGCCATCCAGGTTTGAATAATCCAGAATTTCTGTGAAATTTCCCTAATTTTAGTAGATATTCTATTCACTAATTTATCTTTATTATTATTATTATTATTATTATAATTTAAGCATCTTTAATGAACTGCAATAGCATTGATCATACTTTACAAATCGATATTATTTAAAAAAACGCTAATATTGTTATTGACTACTAATTTAAAATATTCTGTGTATATAAACATATATATAATTGTAGAGCCTAGAAGAGGAATTTATCGAAAAGAATATTCTTTGCTCGATTATTTTGTGTTTTATAGATGTCTGAACGAATATTTTTGCAACATTAATGTTATTAAAACAATAATCCATTCACTATTATATATATATATATATATAACTGTAGAACCTGATGATAAAGTTATTGGAGAGAACATTATTTTTAATTAACCGTTTATAAAACATAAACAGACATTTTTCAAGGACTGGTTTGTAGGGATTCGATTAGTCTGAAGTTTGATCCCAGACTGATATCAGTCAGAGTATCCTTGTGAACCACCACTTTTCCATCCTGGCTTGGTTACTCTTCATCAGGATGTACCCTGGCTAGCTCCTAATTCAGCACCATCCAATTACAAGTCAGGCTTGAAGACAATTCAGCTAATTAGACACAGATCCAACGACTTATGAATTTCAAATTCTCCCAATTTGTGAAAAAATGAATCTGACGTTCGTAGACAGAAATCTTTGTCGATTCGACAGACTGAAATAAAGATCATTTCAAAAGATTGAACAATCTCATGCATCATCCACGGATTAACAGTATTAACATTCTTTTTTAATTGAATGTTGAGTATTTTTGTGGGTATGATCTCTTTTATTAATGAATTGTATGCATTTAGTTATTCTTCAAATGATTCACCTTATTTTCTGATTTTTTTTTAAAATCTAGAACCTATCGGTGTGGTTATTTTCATTTTGGGCATGGTAATGATAGCTATCTGTTTGTTAGGCATCTTTGGTGCATGCTGTAAATCAAAAGTTTGTTTAGGCCTGGTAAGTTCATACTAAGAATGTAACTATGAAATCTTTTTATTCAAGTATTGGTTTGTAGGGATTTGGTTGATTGCTTACAGGATTTCGTCATGAGCTGACATTGGTTGGAGAACCATGAATAACCGGGGAGTAATGGACAGTTGTTTCGTCAGCCCAGGACCTTCTGGTTACATGGCTAGCGAGCTCGTAGACCATTAAGCCGCTGGGACCCGATCCAGTGGCTAGCCCATGAATTCTAACTTCTGCCAATTCACGATATATAGCGCAACCGCTAGCCAAGGTGTTCGGCGAGTAATTTGTCCTCACACCCGACCTTCTGCACCCTACTGGTCACGACTTCCCACTGCAATCCCAGGTAACTACCTACCTGAATAGAGCCAGTGGCCAGTGAGCATCTCATTGATATTCAAGTATTGGTTTTTAACCTTGTAACCAGAAGGTCCTGGGTTCGAACCCCGGTGGATGCGTACCACTGCCGTTGTCCATATGGTTTCCTATCTCTTTTCTTACAACTGCCTTCCTATCAGTCTTGGACATGGATTAGAGTTCTATTTGATTGCATAACTATTGCGTGATGTCAATTAGTCGTCTCCACAGCGTATTTTCAAGCCATCTGTATTCTTTTCTGAACAATTTTTGGACGATATATATTCTTGGTTGATTGGTTGCTAGACTTCCTTTCTTACTGGGCACCCGATCTTCAATGTCGAACCAAAGAATGCAGATATTGATCAAAGTCGGCAACACCTTGTTGGAAATGCTTTAAGGTGAATTCCTGACTGGCATGATATTAGTCCTGAGAATTCAAATTTTAACTGATTAAAAATGCCTATGAAAAACTTTTTCAAAAGAATGGACACGGAACAAACAGTACTCTTTTCGATAACTTCTTCTTCATCAGGCTCTACAGTTATATATATACGTTATAGTGAATGAATGAGTTAGTGTTATGAACAACATGAATGTTGTTTAAATAACATCGAATCAATAATACTGATAGATTACAGCTGAATAGCATCAACATAAAATAAGCTGAATGTCAGAAAAATTAGGAAAGATAATAGTACAAATTCTTGAATTTATAGTTTCTACTGAAGGCCAGGGCAGTAGTAGGTGCTGGACTTGCTTCTTTTGAACACAGAGCACTGGTTGTTTGTTTGAGGCGAATTGCAATAGTCCGTGCTGTTTGGAGCATGCGGTGCTTCAATGATGATTTTGGCAATTTACTTTACTAGGCACCCGGTAGATTACAGAGAAGGATTCTTCCACGCTGGCTGGCTGGCTTTGTGGCTGGTTATCTTGTGGCTTGTTATCTAGCTGGCCACAAAGTGTTTCATGATCCAGTCGACTACAAACTGGAACTATCATCGGTTATAAATCAACAATATAATATTGTTAAACAGAAAGTAATTATACGTGAACAATAGGAAGACTTTTTAAAAAAAATGTAAAAGAAACAAGCTAATGATAAACACTAATGTACTATTAAGCGAACTGAACACTTTATTTTGAGTTAAAATAGGAATCAGAAAATCATTTCTTAACGAAAATGAAGATCACGATGAACTTAAATAAAAAACAATTAAAGAATTTATAATCATTGTTAATTATCAGAAAATTTGCAGAGAAAAAACAAATAAAACAAAAAAACAAAAGAATAGGAGATGGTTGGAGGTTGGTTGGTCGTAGTCATAGTTTCCAGTGAGGACAAAATTTTTCTTTTTCACTCACAGAATAACAAATGCAACAATAGATGCTATGCAAGCAAAAAATCGATAAATCGTACTGTACATTTCTTCTAAGAAGAAGAAGAAGTCAGGGCTGATAGTTTGCAAAAGATTCGAAACGTTCCAGTTATGCGCAAAATCCAAGAATATATAAGACTTGTGGAAGGCACGGTTCTATACTATACATAAAATAGGGAATATCATATGGAAATGCACGGTCGTTATTCATCATGAAGGAAATAAAAGACAGATTCAGCGAAGAAAATTTCCTTCATCGACGAAATCATCTTCAGAGGCTGTACAATCGTATTTATACTTACAAAAATATATAGTGGTCTATTATTGAGTAATAAGGGGTGACATAATTGATATAATTACTCAGAAGTGGTTTTAGAAGTGAAAATTAAAAGTTGTAAATTACGTGGTACTCAACGGCACAAAGATAGAAATTTGATAAGGTTAAAATTGCTATTAAGTGAGAATAAAGATGGTAGTTGAGTGTCAATTTAACAAGTGTGAAGAGGGTGTGAAAATATACAAAAGGAGCATATGAGAGTGATAATAGTGAATTAATTATTAAAGCAAAAGCTAACTAAAAGTGAAATTAAAATGAAAAGAAAAAATCAAAATATATTTTATTTACAAGGAACGATTAGTGAAGAAGTTAAGACCAAGGTAGAATAAGAGGCTGGACAAACTTTTTCTGTATACAGAGTTCAGGGTTGTATTGATGAATTGCCAGAGCCTCCGCCATACACAAAAGCCGAAACCTGACGCCCTTTGTACCATTTAGCTTCACTTTGTAGATGATCTTGAAAGACGATTCTGGTGGAGCTACGTGGCCTGAGTTCACCAGATGCTCGAGAATTGAGCTAGTAATTGTCTTACATTGTCCCTTTGCTAACCATGCCGGATAATGTTCAGAGATGCGTTTGGAAAGCGTGCGCTTTGTGCGGCCAATATAACTAGCTCCACACGAGCAAGTGAATTTATAAACACACACTGAAGTGGCCCGTCCAAAGCGGCAGTTTATCCTTCACACATCCGTTGATCATTTGTCGGCTGTAGAAGTTGATACGTAGCTCAGCCATAAAGAAGGCTTTCCTCAGTGATCTGCATAAGCGATTCTTCAGGATCTCAGCTGCGGTATCACCTTCGAATTCAACACTCATAAACAGTAGTTTCTTCGGCACCGTCTGTATTCTTTCAGGTTCTTCCCTTGGCTTCATGTTTTTCTCGATAAATCTTGGAGGATATCCATTCTCTATGAGGACTTGTCTGAGTCGCTCCAGTTCTCCAACGATTGTATCACTTGAACATATCCTCCTTATTCTTAAGGATAAGGAATGGATCAGATTTCTCTTTCTTCTCAAAGGGACCCAGCTATGGAAATTTGTGTACTGACCATTCCATGTTGGTTTCCTGTAGATCGATCTTTCAAGAGAACTATCAGATCTCCTCTTTAGAAAAACATCCGAAAAATGGAATTCCGAGTTAATCTCTGATTCCGACGTGAACTTGATGGCATGATGACAGCTGTTGAACTCTTTAGTTATCAATTCGATATCGGTATTGTCGTCACATATGATGAAAGTATCATCCATGTATCTTTGGTACAGATGGAAACTGTCGATAGTAGGCCGTAAAAATATAATATTCTCCAAACTAGCCAAGAAGCAGTCTGCAAGTAAAGGACCCAATGGTGACCCCATTGCCACTCCATCTCTTTGTCTATAAATCGTGTTGTTGAACTTGAACTGGACATTATTCATCAATAAGAAAACTAGAGAAGATGTGTCAAAAGCAATCCATGATCACACTGAACAGCGCGCGAATTTCCTGGCAAAGTAAGAATACAGGGGTTTGAATAAATAATGTTCAACACAGAGAGAGAGAGTAACATAAGCAAAGCATGTACAGTAGCCTATAGTTTGACTGTAAGGGAACAATACTATAGGTCTAATAGAATAGAAATATTTTCAAGAGTTTTTTCATCGGGATTTTATTTGTTTCAAGCTTGATATCAGAAAACCAGGGAGTACTGAACAGGTGTTTTGTCCTAGCTTGGGACTCATCTGCAGTACGCACCGATTGGATTTCGAGCCAAGGACCAGTCAGTTACCAGCGAAGCTTGCTCGTAGACAGTTCAACAACTGGAAGCCGACTCAGTCACCCATAAATTCTCACTTCTACGAATTCGTGAATCCAGTGCAACCACCAGCCAATGTCATTGGCGAGTATTTGTCCTCACTCCCTATCTATGATGGACCTTAACGATCACAACTTCTCACTGGAACTCTAGGCAACTTCATTCACCAGGCAGTCACTTGCGAGCATCAGGTTAATTTTCAGGTCTTTGTTTATAAGGTATCTCATTTGTTTCATATCTGATCAAAGATTGATACCGGTTAGATTTCATGGGTTACTTAGTCGAGTTTCAGTGGGTGAATAGTCTGCAAGGGACTGCCTTCTAACCCGTAGGTTCTTGGTTTGAAACCCAGTTGGGGTTTACTGTCTCCAAGTCACAAACTAGTACTAGACAGTTATCCAATATCATTTTATTTATAATGATTTCCTTGGATTCCGAGTAGAACATAGGCCTTCAACAAAACCTAGCCACGTTTTTTCTATTCCCTGCTTTCCTTTTCATCCGGTTAGCTCCACGACTGCCCATAATCTTTCATCTCCTCCCCCTCGCCACACGACCTCCACTGTTTCACCCTCACGCTGAAGACTCACTCGTCTTTTCCTACTAGGATTCCATTCGAACAGTTGCCTGCAGTGATTGTGATGTCATTCGACGGCCTCCTTAACCTATGCTCGATTCATCTCCATCTCATACTACACAGTTGTGCAGTCACATCCCAGAGTTACTTGTTGTTAATTCTTGCTGACCGGCCGGCAGGCTGGCAATCACACAGTGTGTGATACATCTAATGAATAAACTAATATGGAATTACTTACCACCACAGTGGCCAAGTTTTACACATTCACTAATCTTCCGTTGATAGTGATTGGTGCTGGTTGTTGTTGTCATCGCTTCTGCTGCTACTGCTGATACGTTGGTTGGTTATCTTCATATGCCAGTTTGTTGGTTTTTGTGTGCAATTCTTTAAATTTGTGTGCTATTAGACATAAATCATCCACACACGAAATCTAGATCGGCTAGAGTTTTTTCTCATTGGTGGTCCACCGTACTCCAGTATATATTCACTCCACACAGGCTGACGTACAGTACAGTTCTCCAGTTCTCTAACTGATGTCAGCTCATGATGAAATCCTGTAACCAATCAAATCCCTACAAACCAACACTTGAAAATCAATGAGATGCTCACTAGCGACTTGCTCTATTCAGGTGGGTAGTCACCTGGGGTTCCATTGGGGAGTCGTGACCAGTAGGGTGCAGAAGGTCGGGCGTGAGGACAAATACTCGCCGAAGACATTGGCTAGGGGTCGCGCTATGTCGTGAATTGGCAGAAGTTAGAATTCATGGACCATTGGATTGGGTCCCAGTGGCTTAATGGTATATGAGCTCGCCTTGTAACCAGAAGGTCCTGGGTTCGAATCCCGGTGGGTGCGTACTGCTGAAGAGTCCCAAACTAGGACGAAACAGCTATCCAGTACTCCCATGTTTTCCAATGGTTCTCTAACTGATGTCAGCTCATGAAGAAATCCTGTAACCAATCAAATCCCTACAAACCAACACTTGAAAAGAATAGCATTGGTGATAATACGCAATAAGCTTGTCTTACATCTGTATTCCACTCAGACGGCTCACTGATTTTTCCGATATGGATCACCTGACACGTGGCAGGCATTGTCACATAACCAGCTGTTGAATAAGGGTTGATAAGTACTTTGGCACTTCATGCCGTAGTGTTGAAGCAGCTCCCAAATTGCATAGAGGTCAACGATGTCAAAAGTGTTTTTTTCAAAGTCGATGAAGTTAAGGTACAGACAGGTTTTACTGCCATTTTATGATTTGTTCTGTTACGACGATGCTTAGATTTGCAATTGCATCAGAATGTAATTTGTCTTTTGCTGAATCCAGCTTGTTCCATGTAAAGTTTTCAACGATACTCTAACTGATATCAATCTGTGATCAAACTAGAGTAATAATACACGAATTGAGTTAGATTTCAGTGGAAAACTATAGTAGTGCTTACGGAATAACAATGTAATGAAAAAATATGTGAGATAATGCTGCATACTACTTACTAGTAAGTAGTAGTATAAGTTAAATTCGTGGGAAAAAGTTACCAACTTGGAAAAATAAGGAAGGAATAAACACATACTTTTAAGACAGTGAAATGCAGCAATACTTTTTATTAAAAAACGCAACATGAAATATTCACATGAGGCCAACTCTACCTTTAGGAATTTGAAATTTTAGCTGACTGACTCTGCTCTACTGCACCAGAGAGGTGGAAATGAAAGACGGCGGCAAATTTGTTTTTTGTGATTACTTCATAAACCCACCGCATACATTGTTTGCTTAACTATTGACTGTGCCTATCTGCTACAATCACTGATAGATATCAACGGGTGCGTACTGATGAAGAGTCCCAAACCAGGACGAAACAGCTGTCCAGTACTCCCGACTGGTTTTCCAATGGTTCTCTAACCAATGTCAGCTCATGATGAAATCCTGTAACCAACTTGAGCAGATCGTTAGAAAACGTATTTCCAGCAATCTGTTGTAGACTTCTATCAACAACTGCCTTCACTCGCTCAATACTGAAGATCAGATAGCTGGAAAGAAATAACAGCATGAAACTCTAGGAACACACCGACCAAGAGCCTATTGGTCAACAAATCTACAGGAGAAGGTGAAGATGGATGGGACACAGTCTGTAGAGATTATCAAATGAGATCTCATGCCAAGAGATCACTCGAGTGGAATTCGAATGGGATACAACGAGTTGGGCTTCAAACCGAAGATTATACGGAGGATATCTTGTGTGGAGTAAGTGAGAGCTTATGGGTAATCACTGGACCAGCTAAAGAGACTGCAGAGAACAGGATACAATGCAGATTTGCTGCTAGAACCCCATATTTCACTTAGAACCCAAAGGAAAAATGGTAAAGATAAAAATAAATCTAGCAGTTGCACCAGTCATTTATACTAATAAAACTTCACACTTATCGTAGATTTAGCCTGTAAAGACAAGCAGAGAATCAAAGTGTAGTGTTTGAGAAATGTTTCAAATGATTTTGGAAGTGTTATAATGGCTGTCTTAACCAAATACCCTAGAAATAAGGAAAAATCCCGTTAGTTAAGCCAGGGATACATTGTTCAAATCAAGGTAAAAGTGTTGTACTTGAAACGCTTATAACCATGTTAAAGATATATTTGTTCATTGATCCTCGTTGCTGATTTCACCTTCCATTTTCTTCTTTTTTCAAATATTAAATGTCTGCATTTGATGGCCTTTACTCACATTGTGTTGGGGGGATTGGGTCCAACAAATAAACACGAACTAACAAAATACCCGAAACAAGTATCTTGCAGTACTCATTGCCATTGTTATCGCTATCATTGCGTTGATCATTGTGTACAAACTTTATCCAACAGTGGTAAGTAAAGTGAAAAATCCCATAATTATACATACCAGTTGATATTTTGCTTTCGTTTGGAAAGTGACAGTAGTATAGCAGTTGATTCTGCCACTTTAGGACTGTCTTCATTCCACCATGCATACTCCTCGAAGAAATCTCTTTATTTGACAGTCATGTTGCATGTTACTACAGAAGTCCTTCCTTCGGCCGTTTACTTCGCCTTACAGTTTACAGCCAACCCAACTATTTTCGAGATAACTTTAAAAGTTATAAATCCAGAAAGCCGTGGAAATAAGAGACAATGGGAGTATGACAGAGATTGGGGGGGGGCAAATCTTGTTCACTGTGGGATAAAATCAAAGTTCACTGATCCGAATTCACTCGCACAAAATAATCACCAATAAACCAGTGCTCTGTGTCTGTTGACATACTGCCTCCGAGTATGGATGCTTAGACAGTGTTAAGGGATTAGCTTTAAGTTCTTTTGAATCAACGTGACTGACAGGGGAATCTAGGGTCCGTATTTATACCTATCCCGCAACAATCAACTGAATGTTTTTGCAATGTCCAGTGATTCGCCGTGTCGAACCTTGTATTCTTTGTTTCGAGTATCAAAGAATTTGCGAAAAGTCCACGTGAAAGCTACCAGGGTCAGGGTGGAGATGAAATCACTTACTGGGATTGCAGGCTGGCCTAGATGACGAGTCCCGAAAAGGACGAAATGCACATCCCAGATTCCACTGACAGTCGTCACTAATCAGAATAAGTTTGCAAGAAATTTCCTGACAGTACACGGATTAGACGTGAGCAACTTCAATCCATTCAAGAAAGGGAAATCCAGTATTGAAAGGTAGGACATAATTATCCAGTAAATATTTTGCAAAAACTGTATTCATCTACGGCAAAAAAAACAAAGTTCTGGAGTGAAGGTTGGTTTTCCGAGGTATATTTCTTGAAGTAACAGACCTTACATCAGTGACTTTAGATATTAGGTCATTATGTCTGTCAGACAATTAAACATAGGACATGGGTTTAGTGAAGATAGCTGAGCTGTGCAAAGTTGAAGCCTGCTGTGTGATTGCGTTATATTAATGGGTCAGAAGGAATTTCGACGGGAAAATAAGATGTTGGGAGTTAGCCATGAAAAGTAAAAGGTGTTGCTTGTAACAATGAAAATTTTCCACTGAACAGTAAGCTAACCGGGACGATTAAAATCCACGGACAAACTGATGTAATTTAGTGTCACTAAGGTAAATGACACTCCGATGTGGTGCATTTTACACAAACACTACAAGCTACATGTGAATCGGTCTCAGTTCACTTGTGATCCAGAATTTATGCATGCCAGTGCTGTCCATCAGAAGACGCCTAAATGAAGGATTCCGTTAAGTAATTAAAAACAAACAACAATTGCACTGGTTACTATTCACCAACAAGTTGGCGTACATTATTCAGTCCTGCCAGACATCAATCGCAGAGATCTCAGAAAGTTCTGTGGTTAAACCATTTCTCAGAGACCTAACCAGAATCTCTTATATACTATACGATGAATGACTAAATATGTCTAACTTTTATATATATCAGTACTATGAAGCTATTTATTCAATAAATGTCGCGTGACTGATTGATTTTCAGCATAGAACGTTACCTGGAAATGCTGTAGTACAAGTTGCCGCACTCCGCGTAGCCCACAAAAGAGATAGAAAGAATTATTAAAATGAGTAAGTAAAAACTTCTGGGAGGAAAAGTAGTAGGGTAGAAAATAATGACGAATTAACGGATATGAGGGGATAACATCTGCGCACTGGGGAAAGATTTTGAGCCGCATCACCAATAGTCTCTTGCCATTGGCTATTAGTTTCCCAAGAACCCCAACCAATCAGGCATCCTACATCTCCCTATATGGATTGAGGCCATATTTTTACCCAACTGTCTCTAACTCTTCTCCAACCTAATTTTGTGTGTCAGTCAACACTGGCCGTCGAGAAAGGCAATGGTTAGGCATGCGTAACACATGCTCTGACTATATCAATCGATGTAGTTTCACAACCTCGTCAATTGATTTCCCCTCCTTAGCTAGAACTTGAACGGAACCTAACCTCAATATTGCTCACACTATTATACGACCACATCACAAGGCGGATAGAACACAGGCATTTATGATCAAAGACAGCTAGCCTTTTCATAACTTCCACTTTCAGTGGCGATGTATCGCTCACAGCCGAAACGGACGACAGGGCGAACTGCTGAGCAGTACACACGACCTTTGATTGAAGGCTGACGGGATTTCAGGTCTACTTAACGGGAGATGGCAAAAGTTGGCGGACGCCAAACGAGCCTTCTGTATTCATGTTGATATTTCTTCACCACTATATATATAATGTTTTGCATATACTTTCAGCTACTTTATAAAATTTAAGTAGTATTTAGCTGATTTGCGGTTTTTATTTACTTTCTTAGTGTAGAAAAAGTAATTCTTTCTATCTGTTATTCATCACTGAAAATAAAAACCGCAAATCAGCTGAATACTACTCAAAATTTATACAGTAGCTGAAAGTATATGCAAAAAATTAATTTGGCTACTGAGCTTGTGCATTTCAATTTCATTTTTTTACATTTTGTTTTCCTTTGCTATCATCCTTTAATTAAAAGGTGACATCAGTGCTGGATACAGCTATTGACTCATGGGCCACGAGTTATGTATCAATTGTTTCTGGTGATACAAACAGTGTTCTGTTCGCCTCACTCATGATGCTCGTAAGTCGAAAACATATAACACTTTTTCTATCTGTGTAAGAAGCTTTACATTAGAGTATCAGAAATGCATTAAGGAGGGAGAAATGCAAATACCAAGCTGGTGAATATTCCTATAAATACATTACTTGAAAGCTTAATAAAGGTTTTTCTAAAGCGCCAGTGAGAAATATTGATTACAGGATTTCATTATGAACTGACATCGGTTAGAGAGCCGTTGGAAAACCTGGTATACCGCAGAACGGTTCCACCACAGACTGCAGCTCTTCATCAGTATGCACCCACTGGGGTTCGAATGCAAGACTTTCCGGTTACAAGACGAGGTCATAGACAACTGGGCCATTGGGACCGGATCTACTGGCCAACCCATGAATTCCAACTTATGGCAATTCCAACTGATGTCAGCTCATGATGAAATCCAATTAAATTCCCGCATATCAACATTTGGATAGAAATATTGATCTACGCGTATCTCAAAGTTGCAAGTAAGTTTAATAACTCAAATCAGATGATGTTTGACACAAACATTGTGTTGTCGTGATTCGGAGAACAATCAGACATGTTGTATGTTTGGTTTGCGCTCAGTAACTCGAAGACGATTCGCTCGCATGGAAACCTCAGCCATCCTAATAAAACAAAAGCCCCAAGGAAAGCACAAAGAAAGTCGCTCTGCCATATATAAAGGATATATCAGAAATCACTGCACGATTCATCAAACCTTTAGGAATTGACGTCTCACACAAACCAACAAAATCACTTCACTCAGTGCTATGTCAACCGAAAGACTCAACAGCGAAAGAAGATAAAACCAGCATCATCTACAAAATAAATTGTAACAACTGCGAAAAAACACTACATTGGCCAAAATGGACGTCTCCTTCGTCTTTGTATCAATGGATATAAGCTAGCCGTCGAAAGACATGACATCCACTCCCTCATATCACTACATACAGACAACCACGGACATCAATTCGATTGGGACAATGTTCAAATATTAGACACAGGAAACAACAAGAATCCTAGAGAATTTTTAGAAGCTTGGCTGGTATTCCAGTGAATCATCAATCAGTAGACACATTGAGATTGACAAAATTTACCAACCGATAAGAAGGAAATCTGACACACAAAGGGTCAAAGTTCAAGTCAAGGAAACAATCAATTCCAATACAAGTAGCCTAGAGGGTGTGAAAACACACAAAGACAATCAGTCACACTCAAGGTGACCAGGGGAGACGACTAATAAACTCGTGGGGAAATTTAAAAGCTCACTTCAAATTGAAGTATGCGCTGAAGATGTCACCTAGTAGGGTGATGAGAGCTTCGCAAATTAACTACCCAGCTCAGAGAACACAACCACATCAAAAAATCCTCAGTATACTCGACTTTATCTCTTGTTTCTTTTGTAAGTATACACTTCTGAATTCTGCTAAAAAGTTGATGAAACAGAAATGCATTTTTTAATGGATCTTTAATTTATTTTCACTGACAGTGAAATTCTTTCTGGAATATATAGAAACAACATTGATATAATTTCAACAAGATTATTCTTACTATTACTCCATAAGACTTCTGGTAGAACAAACAGCTTCAGCAAGGACAGCTACACTTTGACTTGTTCTGTGTTGGCTGCATGACTGTTCATAGACTTCCACCTCCTACTCACACTATCTCCTTCATATTACTCATCTAAATTCGTACCAGTAGAGCACAAACATCCAGTGGAGTATATAGCAGTTCTTATGATACACAACCACACTGATTGGTTGGAGGATTTCATCATGAGCTGACATTAGTTAGAGAACCATTGGGAAACTATCCAGGGAGTACTGGACAACTGCATCGTCCTAGTTCAGGAATCCTCATCAGTTTGCACCCACCATCAGGGTTACAAGTCTAGCGAGCTCGTATACCGTTAAGCCACTGGGACCCGATCCACTGGCCAGTCCATGATTTCTCACTTCTGCTAATTCATGACATAGCGCAACCACTTCGCTATGTCTTCTTCGATGAGTTACAGCGTCACCTTCAACCTGCTGCACCAATACTTGGAAATTGACGCGATGCTCACTAGCGACTGGTACTATTCAGGCAGTGACCTGGGGTTCAAGTGGGAAGCAGTGAACAGCAGGGTGCAGCAGGTTGAAGACGAAGGCAGTTACCCGTCGAAAAAGAAATTGCGAAGTGGTTGCGCTGTGTCATGAATTGGCAGAAGTCAGAATTCATGGACTGGTCAGTGGATTGGGTCCCAGTGGCTTCACGGTATAGGAGCTCGGCAGCCTTGTAACCAGAAGGTCCTGGGTTCGAACTTAGGAGGTAGGTGTATGCTGTAAATAGTCTCAAACTAGGACAAAACAGCTGTCCAATACTCCCAGCTGGTTTTCTAATGGTGCTCTAACCGATTTCAGCTCATGGTGAAACCCTACAACCAATTGAACAAAAAATATCCCTACAAAATCAATAGTGGCAACATTTATTTTTTTAATCGATGTTCCTCTTCCTTACTACTACTATTGTTGCTCTTACAGTGTTATTTCAATTGCCCTACTTACTCTTTTAATCCAAGTTTTTTTTTCAATGCCAAACTTTATCTTTTCAAGCTAATTTTGCATCCCTCTCGTTAATCTATTAACTATTACACAAGCTGTTTTATTGTTCTATACTGATAGCAAAATTACCAACGACTTATACACATTACCACAAAAGGAATTTATGTAATTTAAAGGTTTATTTCAAAATCACGCTTCTGGGTAAGTGAAACGGTGAAACCAAGTCAAGGAGCACATACACAGTAGAGAATTCATCATTCAAATATCCTTCAAAAGATAAAAGCGTGGAAGTTAAAACTAACAAGGGTGGCTATTCATCAGGGTTCCAGTGGCTGAATGATCTACGAGTTCGCCTTGCAACTGGTACGCTCTATGCGTTCGAAATCCATTGGGCGTGCACTGATTATGATTCACGAACTAGTGGGACCAAACAGCTGACCAGTACACTGTGTTTTTCAATTGCTCTCTGATTCCTATCAATTCGCGATCAAAATCAAGATTAATGCAGCCTTACAAATCCTAAATAAGATGTGGTTCCCGGTCGGTTGGCCTTTTCCGTGCTTCTGAATTATGTAATCACTAATTACTTCTGAGTCATCATAGAGTTATGTGTTCATAAGATCTTACACGCTGATGCTACAATGGACATTACTAAGTAATACATACACCCGGTTAGACAAATATTGACTTACCAATAGTGACTTTCTATTGCATATAAACGTTGAATAACAGTCATCCTTCTATATATATTTATATCTGTTTCCACTCTTTCTTCTCAGCTAAACTGTTGTGGATCCAGTAGTGTAACGGATATCACAGGATCAAGTAAATTTTCAAAAAGTGACACATATTTAACGGTTTCGTACACAAGTAAGCACCTACATTTTACCATTCAATGGTTTATCATAGAAAATAAAGTATTATTAGTAGAACTGATGAAAGAGTACACATAAATTGAGCAATGAAATGCATTCCTCCTTCCATTGGTTCCTCATCAACGACTCTACGCTAATATATATATATATATATATATATATATATATATATATTTGAAACCTGAGTATTATAGTTCCCTTTATTCCTTCCCTAGTGACAACACTAGACAAGCCCTCAAGTAGAAACCGAAAGGGAAGCGGCGAGTTGGTCATCAGTGCAAGATTGACTTGGAGGAGGTCATGTGAAGAGGAGATGAAATCATGTGGGCAGACTTGGAGGCAGGTGAAGACTCTAGCAGAGAACCAAACGTAATGGAGACGCATGGCTGAAGCCCTATGTTCCTCTAGGAATTAAATGAAAAAATAATAATATGTATTCCTTCCCTGCAATGATTTCCAGGTCAGATATATAGTTCATAAGTGGTCGAATGGGGATAATCACACTAGCGAGTCACACAAACCTCGGAAAGTTTAGACTAGTTGACCCTAGTAAGATACGAAATCTAAGCAATACCTTCGCTACAGGACAGCACAAAGTTACATGGAGTCATGGAATACCATCAGAGAAATATCGAAATCTAATGTAATAGAACTGAAGAAGAAGAACTTGATAACGGAAGCTTTATTTGTCAAAGGAACTAAGACTATGTACAACAGGGATGACTCCGTAGAACTGAATATTATTGATACACTGACGTAATTAGCTGACCAGCCAGACCGAAGTGATACAAAGACATCACATCAGGCGTTTTTAGCCTGTTTGGGTCCAATCTCATCAGCCACATAAGCGGCTAACTAACTCCACCCAGAGAGTTATGTGGTTATGCAACTGAAGAACAGTAAGTTTTGTTCGGAAATTCATCAACCAGTGAACAATAATACTGTTTCACAGATTTCTGACAGTCACTGACTGACTGCACAGATGTGCAGGAGTTCCAGTTGCCATACTTCCAATTTGTAGCACACAAAGCAAGAGAAGAAGGTGAAGAGGGGTTATTAACAGAAGTGTGAGTGAGGTTAGAATAATAATATGGAAGAACAAACAGAATTTTATTGGATATTGTAAATTACAAGGAGTGAATGCATCCGTGCCAGCCACTGACAACGACTTTGTACCATATCACCAATTATCTCCAGCCTTCATTGGTTTTTACCGTCCCGAGGACCCCAGTCAAGTTGACAAGAAGTCTACACCTCTCTACGTGACTGGCTAACTGTTATTTTCTTATTTTTGTTTTTATCCTTCACGTTCCCAGTGGCTGGAAGTTTCCGTAGCAGTGTTTATTTTCCAGAATGGGGTTGCTAGCCTCATGCCCAATCTATCCTCTTCACCAGCATTATTTCTGGCTCAGCGAGGTGAAGGACTGCGTCGGCCAGGGATCGAACCCCGAACCATGTGCATGGTAGGCGAGAGTCCTAACCGCTATGCCACCGACGCACTGTTATGGATCTCATTAACTAATGAAGGCATGTTTTGGTTTGACCACCACTAGCCTACTCTATTCTAACCTGATCCTATATCAGTCAGTTAACACTGGCCGTCGAGAAAGGCAATGGTTAGGCATGCGTAACACATGCTCTGACTATATCAATCGATGTAGTTTCACAACCTCGTCAATTGATTTCCCTTCTTAGCTAGTACTCGAACGAAGCCTAACCTCAATATTGCTCACCCTATTGTACCACCACATCACAAGGTGGATAGAGCACAGGCAATTATGATCAAAGACAGCTAGCCTTTTCGTAACTTCCACTCTCAGTGGCCATATCTGGCTTGCAGACATAAAGGAGGACTGCTGAGCAGTACACGTGACTTTTGGTTGACAGCCAGTTGGCCATCACGTTTACGCCAGAGATTGCGTAAGTTAGCTGAAAAAATACCGAACGGGCCTTCCGTATCCGTGGTGAGGTTTCGTCAGCTATCAATCCTCTGCTGTTGGCTGATGCAATTCCCCAACCTGCTCTATCACTTTACTCCCGATTTCTAAGCTAAGAGCCTATGAAGTCCAGTCCTGTAGCATCATCTTACATTTGAATAAGGGAGCGAATCGCATGTGAAACATTCGCAGATTGCAGCTCAAGGTATACAGAAGACTTTGCATTTTGTCAGCGTCTTCACTTAGAAGGACTATATCATCTGTATACTCTAAGTGAACAAGATTATTCTCTGATATCAAGACAATCCCTAAGTAGTTGAAGTCACCAGATGGCATTAATTCCATTAGTAAGTCAATGATGAAACTAAAGAGAAATAAGGATGCTGAGCATCCCTCACTGTAATATTACCTTCCTAATTCTTCTGACATTCAGTTTATCTTATGTTGATGCTATTCAGCTGTAATCTATCAATATTATTGATTCGATGTTATTTAAACATTAAGTTCGTTCATAACAGTAATTCATTCATTATAATGTACATATAATTGTAGAGCCTGATGATGAATTTATCGAAAAGAGTACTCTTTGTTCCATGTCCATTCTTTTTAATGGGCATTTTTAATCAGTTAATATGAAATCACATACTATTACCACCAATGATATTGCTAATTGTGGTGGACTGGATTATGCGTCAGACGGTGGGAAACGACAAGAAAGGGATATCCTGGACCGACGTGAAGAACCTAGAAGACCTGGATTTCACGCGTGGATGATTTGTGTTTGATGTCACACAAAATCGAAGACTTACAAGCGAAAACTGACAAACTGGTCGAAGAAGCAGTAAACACAGGACTCCAGGTGAACATAGACAAGACGGAGGTTATGAAAATAACCACCCAAAAACAACAGCAGCAGCAACATCCAGCGCCAATCACCTTCAATAGGAGAGATTTGAAAGAGGTTACTTCATTCACTTATCTAGGGAGCATCGTCTCAACTACAGGAGAAACCGACTGACGAGGATGTCAAAACGAGAATCGGGAAGGCGAGAAACACATTCATCAACCTGAAACCAATCTGGAAATCTTCGTCACTCAGCAACACTCAACAGCAAAATTCGGATTTTCAATACAAACGTCAAGTCAGTTCTTCTATACGGATCAGAAACTTGGCGGGTCACCAAGAATATTTTCAACAGGTTGCAGACCTTTATCAACAGCTGTCTTCGTTCCATACTGAAGATCAGATGTCCGGAAGGAATCACTAACAAAAAAACTTGGGAACAAACAAAACAAGAACCAATCGCCTAACAAATATGCAGAAGAAAGTGGATATGGATTGGACACTCCCTGAGGAGGCCGTTGAGTGACATCGCGCGTCAGGCCAGTGCTCGAGTGGAACCTGAAAGGGAAGCGGCGAGTGGTACGTCCAAGGGTGACATGGAGGAGATCGTGTGAAGAGGAGATGAAACAGTATGGACTAACATGGATGCAGGCGAAAAGTACAGCAGAAGACAGAAGCAAGTGGAGACGTGTAGTTGAAGCCCTATATTCCACTAGGAACCCAAAAGAACAATATAATAATACATACTATTACAGTGCCCAAGTTGTACGCATATGCCAGTCACCGAGAAACATAAAATTTCGAGGTTAAAGGGGGTTGAAATAATTAAGGAATAAAACATCAGTTCATTTGTAGGAGGATGATGACTGAGAACAACAGACCGACTGACTCCATTAGAACATGAAGATCGAAATTTCTCTTGTTATTCCTTAAAGTTCCCAGTGGAACACTGTGCTTCAAGCTAGAAGCTTGAACTCTTGGTTGCAGTGGTGTTTACTTTTATGGGATGAGTTGCTAACCTCATGTCCAACCTTTCCTCTTTACCAGTCTTAATACTTACTTGATTAGAGAGGTAAGGGAGTGCGTCAGCCGAGAATTGAACCCCAGACCACATGCATGGTCGAAGAGCATTCTACTGCTGTACCGTCGATGAACTAAAAATCGAAATAAGTTAACTGCATCAGTTAGAATAGTAGTAACAGCATCAATTAATAAAGTCAAATGACAGTTACAAAGGTGGCGAAAATTCATATATATATATATATATATATACATATCCGGCTGCCTGCCTCAATCACTGGGGATAGCAGAATTTCCATCTATCGAAATGCTGCTTAAACTCTTCTACACTTCTTATTGTTTTAATCGTGCGATTATATCAGATGACTTGTATATGCATATTATGTAGTTGGCCATGCCACAAAATTGTGGCTACACACGAATCTCTTTTGATCAGCGCACAGATTTGGCTTGTTTAAATGAATTTCATAATAGTTTGTTTATTAGGTATATCACACAGTGAAACAGTATTATTTACTGGATGACAAGGTTTCGAACAAAATTTATTCTTCATAATCACATCAATTGTGATCACACGACTTTGACTCTTGAGTTTTATAGTTTTCTTTGTTCTCCCCTATTTGTCTTATGGGTAGTAGAATTTTCCAGATATCTGACCAGGAACTCGAACTTAGGACAAAAGTGCCACTTGAGGACATAATGGTGGGAGTACAGCTATGTCTGACTTCCAAAGTATTTAAATTCCAAGGGAAAATATGCAAACAAACTGAAGGAGTTGCCACGGGATCAGCAATATCCCCAGTTGTAGCAGATATATTCATGAATAAATGGGAAAGCATAGCGATTGAAACGTTCACCCCCACCCCAAAAGTATGGTGGAGGTATGTCGATGACACATTCACTGTACTTAAAACAAAAGATATAGATAGGTCTTTCGAACACATCAACTCGAAGGTTGAAACAATTCAATTCACTTATGAATTGGAAAATCAGGAAGGGGAGCTCCCAATGTTAGATTGCAACGTAAAGAGGAAAGAAGATGGGAAGTTAAACACCAGTGTTTACAGGAAACCCCCACACTCAAACAGGTATTTAGACTTCCGATCGTCCCATCCTACGTCAGTAAAAATACGATTGGTGAAATGTTTAAATGACAGAGCACAAAAACTAAGTAGTACCAAAGAAAATCTAAAACAGAAACTGATACACATCAAAGAAGCTTTGAAACTTGATAATTACCCGGATAAATTAGTCAAGAAATATGTAAGGAAATGTAAAAATAAAATGAATGATGATAGTAGCGGTAGTGATAATAACAATAATAATGATATTAATAATAGTGGTAATAATAATAATGACGACACCAATAATAAGGAATCTAAATCATCAGTAGTAATTCCATACAAGGAAAAAACCTAGGCAACCTCAAGGAGAATTCTTAACAAGGCAGGAATAAGAGTGGCTGGCATTCAAACCCCCCACAAACTCAATTAGAAACAAGCTTTGTCGGCTAAAGGATCCTGTAGAGCCTTTAAAACAAAACAATTTAGTTTATCTAATACCCTGCAATGATTGACAGGTCAAATACATAGGTCAAACTAGTAGAACAGGGGCAGTCAGACTAGCGGGACATAAAATCCTAGCAAAATCTAGATTGGTTGACCTGAATAAGATAAGAAATCTAGAGAATAGTTCAGCTATAGCACTACAATACATGCAATTACACACAACCATACAATAGGATGGGATAGGATGACAGTTTTAAAATCTAATGTCACAGGCTATAGGGAGAGATTGATAACAGAAGCTTTGTTTATCGAATCAACTACAAATACATGTAACAGGAATTATTCATCACCTATCCCCGATATCTGGAAAATTCTACTACCCATACGACAAATAGGAGAGAACAAAGAAAACTATAAAACTCAAGTGTCAAAGTCGTGTGATTACAATTGATGCTATGATTATGAACAATAAATTTTGTTCGAAACCTTGTCATCCAGTAAATAATACTGTTTCAGTGACTGTGTGATATATCTAATAAACAAACTAATATGGAATTACTTACTACCACAGTGCCCAAGTTTTACACATATATTAAATGAATTTCGCCTATCACTTCTGTATGTGAAAGTCGTACAGCATGAGTAAGGTTGGGTCAAAATACGATAAATGACTTCAGTGGGTTTGTCAGTGTCAACCTGTTATCCCGTATTGACGAAGTGATGAATTGTTATTAAGGCTGTAGTTAGCTTTATTCTATCCACAGTTCTTGAGCAAAATGGACAGGATTTAGGACACCAGCGATGAATTTGTCTAATCGTACACCTACAAGGAAGTTTTACCCCTCCCCCCCCACAAAACCCTACACTCTCCACTCCCCCTGTCTTTCCAGAAGTCCTTACTCTAAATGGAAGGTACTCACTAATAACTAAGAACAATAAAGTGATTTCCATAAATCTGGAAAACAAATTTTTTTAATAAAAATTATTTATCTCAATTTTTTGTTTGTTTCCGACATGCCTCTGTAGATCTTGTTCGTCCAATTCCATGTTGTAAAGTTGATTCATCTATGGCTTTAAGTGATTCAACGTGTCCAACTACCTCATCGTCTACAAAACAGAATGATTCTACAGGGTGTAAAACTGTCATTCGAACTTATATTACCACATATGCGGATATTATATTCTATGTGGCACTTGGCATCTTGGCATTCTTTGTAAGTTTTACAGAGTTAAAAACTCATAGAGTAGAACACTTTTTATTTATTTATTTTTTTGAAATATTTTTTGTTAGTCTGGTCTGTGTAACTGACACTTTCATTATTAGTATTAGATGGTTGGAGGCAATCGGAAGCAGGAAGCCTTGCCTAACTAACCTAGGTCTCTTGACACTCATAGGCAAGGCATGTCTGCGACCTCGAAGGAACTCAAGTCGTCCATTTCTTAGACACATTGCTTTTCCTCAGGCATAGTAGAAACTTGCAAATCAACAGACTGCAAAAAACAACTTAACCAGTTGTCAGAGTAAAAACAATAACATTGAGTGTCAGTCATATTTCAATAGATTAAAACAAGAGAAATTATATGCAATATAACAATGGAGCGTTTCGACGGCACAGGCTTAAAGTAGGCCGTCACTAACTAAAGGAAAACTGTAAGCAATATTGTTCATGGAGGGGGGCATTTTTAGATCAGCAATTAACAATCTGCTATAGAGATGGATGGTTCTTTTGGAAGTTACTTAGTTTTCATTTCATTTCAACTTAGGTAGGTAGATAATTTAAAAATACACATACATAATGATAATTACAGAACACGATTAAAGCAAATACGTATTTTCGGTGAATTCTCATCAGGCTTTACATTTACATAATGAAGTATTAGTCATAGGCACCTGAAATAATGTAGTTAGTGTAATATACGATCAGAGATCACAGATGCGAATTAATGGATCCAATGAAGTACATTCGGCTATGATATTTACTTGTGAAGATGAATCCCAAGACAGAACTGCCTGCCTGGACGTCATACTGATAAGAAAACCAGATGGTAGCATAAAAAGAAATTTGCATAGAAAAAGCACTTGGACATGACAATATACACACATTTTCACAGCTTCGTTCCTATCAAGTACAAAAGAAATTTCGTGAAGACCTTCAGCCACAGAGCTAGTTAGAGCTATATGCTCAGAAGAAGTAAGTGAAGATGAATTAAGCATTATATATGATACTTTGATCGAAAATGGCTATCTCTACAAATTTATCAAGAAACACATGACAAAGAAAGCGGAAAAGGACTACTCACTGTCTGTAAACAAGAAGCCACTTTTTAAACGACTACAATTCAAGGGCGATATTCCAAGTGAGATAATTACGAGGAAATTAAGAAAATCAGTTCAAAGAACTTTTAATGCTGGCGAACTACACGTATTATTCTCTACACGACCGATGGTGGTACCTCGACTGGAAGATGAAATACCTTCTAATTGTATCTACCAATTCAACTGCGCTTGTGACTTATATAGCATGTAGTGCTGTATAGCAAACCTGTCAGCAAACACTGTTCATAGAACCTGATCCTTGTTGACTCTCTAGATATTCTGCATCGTATGGTCACCACCTGATTCAGTGACTTAATAGTTTGGGCAGACAGGCATCTTTTCAAAATCTCCCTAGATAAATTTCGATAAATAGAAATACTATAAATTTGACGCATCCAAAATGTAAGCATCAATTTTTTGTAGTATTTCTTCTCTACTACTACCACTTAAGCATTAAAGTAGTCTGAAGATGATGAGAACCTGTGAAGTAGAATGATCATGGAGAATTCCCGTTGTAACATGTGGAAAACCAAAAACAAGTGATGATTCAGCGAAGAGACTCTTTTCAACGAATTCATCATCAAGGTGTACAATCGTATATATATGGTTTTTAAGAAGTTATATCCGGTGAGGGAATTGAAACATAGGTGTGAATGGATAAAATAATAATAATAATATGAAATGCAATTAAAACTAAAATGTTTGTGATTATAATCGTAGTTAAATGTCAAGTGGCAAAAAAATTAATGTCATATATAGAGTAATTTATAGGATGGATAGAACTTGAAAAAGGGTGTGCAATTATAAGATTAGTAGACAAATCGAAAAAATAAAAACGTTACGTAATATTGTGTGAAATTTAATAGCATAGAATTTAATCTTGCATAAGGGAATTGATTTAGAATGACAAGTGGAACAAGTGAAATAATACCGGGGACAATTAAAAGTGAGAGTAGTAATAGTAACAATTGACTTAATAAGGAAGAGTATACAAATTGAATAGACAAAAAATGAAAAAATGAAGAATTGGTAGAGCCAGAATATGATTGGGGATTACCATACTTTAGCATAGAGGGATTATGACCATGAAAGTTGGAGGGGTTGAATGAACTTTTTCTGTACACAGAGATTTGGCTTTTCTGTTTCGATAGCCAAAGCTTCAGCAATACAGATGAGTCGGGTACGTAGGGATTTGGGTAAATTACTCTTTGCCCTGTAGATGACTTTGAAGGCGGAGGCTATAGAGATAGGGTGATCATTATCACTTTATACTGCAAACTTTATCTTCCTGTCTTTATCTAAATTTATCAAATGTGTATGAAGTTTTTTAATAGAATTTCTTGTCAATTGACTATTAGTATCCTATAGGTAGTGTATTATTTCATTCAAGTAATTATACACTACTGAATTGCTGTATTCATCCCTTAATTATTCTTTGCTTTTCATATATTGTCTTTCACAATTCTAGGTGCTTTTAATTATTCTAGCTTCATTTGCGATTGTTGGACTCTAGAAACGGCAGCATCAGCCGCAGCCGCACTAGCAGCAGCAGCAGCAAAAGAAGGAGACGCGGCAGTTTTATACAAGAACCGATGAAATTCACCAGGGTGAATATGTGTGTGTGTGCGTGTGCGTGTCTGCACACACTCTTGTACTCGCGTGTTTCTGTTCTGTGTTTCTTTCAGTGTTGTACCTTTGATCAACCATAAAAGTAGAACGCTTTTGTTTGTTTGTTTGTTTTATTTTGTTAGTTTGGTCTGTGTAATTGACATTTTCATGCTATACTAGATTGAAATTGAATCAATAAAAATTATCATCATGACATAATGAGAATTATTATTACTATTACCAGATCATGCATTGATCATATCGCCACATTATGAATCATCATTGAACAAAGCCTGGAATGGCAGTCACCTCTCTATCTCAAGTTCATCGACGTTGAAAAGGCCTTCGACAGCGTCGATCGAGAGGTGCTTTGGCAATTACTTTGCTACTACGGGTTGCCATGGACAATTATACATCTCATCCAACAGCTAGCTGTACGACAATGCTGCATGCCAATTAATCCACAACGGGAAACTTACGGTATCCTTCGAAGTGAGGACAGGAGTAAGACAAGCTGGCTGCCTACGACCGCCTATGATTTTCCTGACTGCAGTAGATTGGATAATGCGACAAACAGCGGACAATGAGGAAACAGGCATAAAATGGACTCGCACAAAACACTTGGAGGATCTGCACTTCACCAATGATATATGTCTGATTTCCCACAAACTGGAAGATGTGTAAGTGAGAAGCAACAAGTTGGCAGAAGAGGCATCCAGAGAAGATAGGACTTCACGTGGACATAGAGAAAACAGAGATGATGAAGATTCCTGGCCAACACCACCAACAGCAACAACAACAACAGACAACAATCAGCATAAATGGAAGGAACCTGAAAGAAACAACCTCTTTTACCTACCCACCTAGGAAGCATCGTTTCAACTACAGGCGGACGGAGCTGACGAGGATATCAAAGCAAGAATCGGGAAAGCAAGACAAGCTTTCACTACTCTCTCAAGTCTGTGTGGAGGTCAACAACACTCAGCATCAAAAATAAGATCCGGATTTTCAACTCCAATGTGAAGTCAGTGCTACGTGTTATACGGATCAGAGACGTGCACTGCGCGTCATGAAGGGCATTTCAAACAAACTACAGACCTTCATTCACATTTGTCTTCGCTCAATACTCAAGATCAGGTGGCCAGAAAAGATCAGCAACAGAGATCTTTGGGAGCGAACCAACCAGGAACCGATTGCGCAACAAATAGGCGGGAAGAAATGGAGATGGATTGGACATACTCTGAGGAAGCAAACCATCAAGTGACATCACTAGACAAGCCATTGCTCGAGTGGAACTCGACAGGGAAGCGGCGAGTTGGCCGTCAGTGCAAGGGTGACTTCGATGAGGCCATGTGAAGAGGAGATGAAAACGTGTGGGCAGACTTGGAGCCAGGTGAAGACTCTAGCAGAGAACCAAATGCAATGGAGACGCATGGCTGAAGCCCTATGTTCCTCTAGGAATTAAAGGAAACAGTAATAATAATAATTACCAGAAAGAGAGTATCGTCTACACTTCTGCTGAAGCTATTTAGTCTATGGCTTGTTGTATGGATTTGGACAAATTGTGAATGTCGATTTTTCCATCAACCAACCAACAATATTACTTAGTTAGTTAGAGATCACTGATAGTCAGAGAACACCGGACAGCCATTTCGTCCAAGTTTGGGTCTAGTATTTGTTCTTCACCAAATTCACATTGAAACTCATCCAGTTCCGTACAAAAACTTACAGTCCAAATGTCAATCTCCAGCTCACTGTTGATGTACTGAAGGTGTGCTGAGAAGGTGTGACCAGTGGGGTGTACTATGTGTCAAGATGTTGTGGATGCTAACTGGAGGAAGTGGTTAGGAATAGCTCTATATCATGGCTAAAAGGATAAAACCTAAACAGTGTGGTAGAGTAAAACTCCATTATGGATAGGATTTTATTTTGATAAAATCACACAGTGTTGTTATACAGTAATATTTACTGATGACGACATTCCAAGCACAATTTATCACTGCTCATCATCATATCGTAGTACTCACACACACCTTTCTTGCTTCATTTATATACATGAATAAAAATTGATGATTAGACATTTGAATAGAATCAATATAAGTTAATATTAGTGTTATCAATAAAATACAATGAGGTGGGAAATAAGATGTTTTTTTATAGTAAAAATAAGTAACTTTTTAGAATGTTATAATGTGAATTGAATTGAAATACATTTTAAGATTATTTATTATCCTCTGATTTGACTGCTGGTAATAATATCTTCCACATCTCTGGTATTTGCGTTGAGTCACCTCTGCTGCGTATGTATTGCGTGTAGACTCGATGAACCAGGCAGGATTCAGTAATCGATCTCTCCCTCTCTCTCTCTCCAACTACCTATATTACTCTATAGAATTTTGACTCTGTCCCACCCTATTTTGTGTTAACGCATGCAGTGCAATGCAGTGCTGAGTTCCTCTTTCTAAATTACTTATCTTTGTGGGGTCAATCATTCTAACCTTAGCTGGATTCTTATGTTCTGATAATATGGTTGACCTAACTCACAGTCATCGCAAGGTATTTTGTAAATTATATTGTTTTGTCTAATTGGCTCTACAGGGTCTTTTAGCCCTCAGAGCTTGCCTCTGATTGATTTTATGGGTTTGAATGTCACTCTAATTCCTGTTTTTTTCGCGATTCCTGCTACGTAGGGTCTCAGATGTCCCCTCCTAGTATAGTAAAACTACTGTAGATACCTGATATTCTCTCTTATTTATGTTATCCTAACTAGTTTAACCATTATTTTTACCTCTTTTTTGACCTCTTTGATATTCCTAATGAATTTTATAGGATAGTTACTTGACACGAACGCTTCTTCTATCTGTTTCATTTCATCGTTAAGGTTTCTTGTTGTACTACTTAGTGCTATTGCTCAGTTTGTTAGACACTTAACTAAGCCTGACTTTATCTAAACCGTGGTTTGACAGAAGTTAGAATTAACGGATCAGTCTATTCTCGCCCCCGTGGCTGAATGGTAAACGAGACTAAACACTGCCCTCCATAAGTGCTCCAGGAGTCATGATATGACACACATTCGAAATACCCCTAATTTGACTGAACGTCAATTGTACAGACGTAAATCTGAAGCATTCTTGATGCAGTAGGCCGTTAATTGCAGTTTAAAATCGTGAAAATGCAAATTCACTAGCTTAACTCTGAATTCCGAAGCCTAGATATGACCAGCCAACAATATAAACTGTCACCACAGACTATCAAGTGGAACTCTCCAAAGCCGTCCAAAGTAAATACCTGTTAGAATTTTTTCTAGTTCATAATTCATTGAATTAGTTATATAGTCAGTGATATTGATCGTGTAACCTGAAGGTCCTGGGTTCGGTCTCTGGTGAGTTCGTTGGCGGTTTTCAATGATCTCTAACTGGTACTAGTTTGTAACAAAATCTATATTGATGTTTAAGACATGCTGATGAAAAAATGTCAGCACGAAGTAAGTAAACATTTAGTGAACGCTGCACAACTATTGTGCATATAAAATGCTATTAACAGTTATTAATGTCACTGGAGATGATGGAAGATGGAATAAAGATGTAGGTGAATGCATCGTTCAAACTAGTGGCATCCGAATTTCTATCCCAGCTCTCTACCAACCGACCTGCAAGATCCGGCTCCTATATTAAATGTTAGCGGAAGCTACAGGGTACAAAGTAGCCTCTAATAGAGGTTGGGTAAATGGAGTTATGCCAGAAAGTCTCGAATTCCCTAAATAATAAGTCAAACGGAAGATTTTCTTAGGAGTTAACAAGATATGAGACGGCCAACCAAATACTAGAACAGAAACTGATACCAAGATAAATAATATTCGACTTGTTCCTACCATAGTGCCGTTGATGTTACTAGAATCCTGTCAGCGAATCATTTCACGCAAGTCTTGTTCACTTCTGGAACTAGAATTAACTGTCATACATTTCAAGGCATTCAGTTTACGACCATCTGAATAAGGCTGTTTATTAAATTCAGATAGGAAATTATTCATATCAGAAGATTGTAATGCCGAAATAAATGGGACAGAAGTTACCAGATCATAACCACATTTAATGAAATTGGCTATAGAAGAATTCGGTAAGTCATGTAAAAAGAAAGGGAATACAGGTGGAGAAAGTACACAGTCTCGACGTACATCAGCTTCCTCTGAGCAAAGAAGTGAAGTGCTTTCCACTACACACAGTGTAATTGTCTCTTATCTTAAAACAAAAGGGCAGTCGACGTGTGACCCAAGAATCATTGCAGGATGAAGTTAGCTTGCATAGTGAGAATACCTTAGAAATAGAATCGTAAGCAACAGTGTAGTCTGAGAAGGTAGATTGAACGAACTTCGCACATCAAGTCTACACTGGAAACGATGTAGTACAGAGGTAGCATGCAAAGTGCTTATGTAACTGCAGAAAACAGGGGACTTGGTAGCGGAATTTTTATAGGGAAAAAGACACCATATCTGTACATTTTTAGTCACATTAAAGGTTAGCTAGGTCAGCGGATAATTCACTGTTCTGAATGGATGTCGATTTCTCGAAGGTTAAACAATGAGGCAAGCAGTCTTCCAACAAGATTATCTCCTGACTGAAGCGTAAATGAAATCCAGATTTGAGGAATAACACTCCTACCTCTGCAGCCATTGACTTAAAATGTCGTTTCCAAATTCCAATGCTTCCTGTCAATCTTCATCAATAAACTACTGACAAATCTTTTCAGTAGTATACGCCTCACCTAGCTGCATTTATAAGCAAATTGCTTGAGTGTTTAAGAATGAAACAGAATTTTTGTCATAGTTATCAGAAATGGCGAGGTGAAGACAAATGGCCTAAACTTTAAACCTGATCCAAAAAGATAATGACCTTGTTACAGGTATAATCTGTATTTCTTTTTTCAATGCAACAGGTAATGTATCCCTGTGAAATGAGGCATTGAAGATTTGTGTGGGCGAATGACAGAAAATACCTGTGGGATTGAAATGTGCCAGATCGTGCACATGTTATACACACACTAGCTTCAAAACGCTATGAATGCCGAAAGCTTGACTAATAGTATGTGGGACACTGATAAGGCAGTGACATTTGC